TGATTAAATATGCTTAGGGGAATTGGGCAATTTCAGCTTGCTAGTATCTTTTTTCTACCAACAAGATTCTTGTTGTCAAAAATGTTCCATTTTAGAGACATAATTTAGAATGATTTATACAAATTTGCAAAAATTTCACTGAATGATGTATGTTTCCTACAGCCAGAAGTCCACAAATTGGATTCTATATGTCAAATACTGGAAAAAGAAAACTGAAGGAGGTCAATGTTTTTAAATGTGATTGATTTCTCCAAAGGAAATGGGTGACATGATGCATTACTGCAATAGGACACTCATATTTTGGTTATAAATCACAGGCTTCCATTTTAGGTAGGAAGTCACTCCCTCTTAAAACAAAGGAGTAGGAAAACACAAACCTCCCAACCCTTTTTGTGATGCTGTTATGACAGATTTCCATAAAAAGCTCTACTTCCTTGAAAATAAACTATTTTATTTCTCTCTCAATTATGCTGACGAGTATGTATGATCAATAGCTGGAGATAATGTACAATAAATTACTGAAGAAGAAAAAAAAAAGAGAAAAACCCTGGTTTATTAATCTCCTTGCTAGTAATATGTATTAACATTTCACCTAAATTAGTAAAACACAATAAAATATAAATGTTAAGAAGATCTATGTTCAAATGCCAATGTCTAGGCCATCTAACCATTGAAGCACAGTATCGTTTATATTATTTAAAAAATCAGATACTGGACTGGTATATGCCCTCAGTTTACAGCCCGGTCACTTTATAATCTACAATTTGACTTGGGACCCCGCAATCACACTGAGGGGAGGATACTATACCCCATTTATACAGACAGTTTTGGCAGATGCCACGTGAGATGTGAAATCTATAGTAAACTGAGTGTTCTTCTTTCAAAATTTTGAATATTCTTAACAGGTTTAAAATGGAAACTATTTAGACCAGGGCTGTCAAACTCACGGCCCATTGGCTGGATGTGTCACACAATGGCCACGCCCACGCCCGGTTTAGCGAAGGGGAAAAAAGTCCCGATACCTCACGTGACGCTGCCGTGAGGTCACGAGTTTGACACCCCTGATTTAGACTATATATTGCAGAATGCAGAGATGGTTAGCAATGACCAAACAATGTTTTCCAAAACTGCAGTGCTAATTAATTAAGAATAGGCCTACTTTTAAAATTAAGATGGATTTCTATGCAAACCTGCCTGAAAAGACAGGCAGCTCTTAAACAATACCCACCGGCCCTCTTAGCATAAAATAAATGATTCTGCCTGGCCTGATGACTCCTCTGTACACACCAAAAATACATAAGATGGCCCAGTCTTTCAACTGCAATGTTAGCATTGCAGTATGGCCAGGTCAGATTTTTTTGGGGGGGGAGGAGGAGGAAGACTTTTACCTAGGAGCCATGGTGGCACAGTGGTTAGAGTGTAGTATTGCATACTAATTCCGCTAATTCAGATCACTGCCAGGAATTTGATCCTCACTGGCTCAAGGTTGACTCAGGGTTCCATCCTTTTGAGATCGGTAAAATGAGGACCCAGATTGTTGAGGGCAATATGCTGACTCTGTAAACTGCTTAGAGAGGGCTGTACAGTACCGTGAAGCAGTATATAAGTCTAAGTGCTATTACTATCACCTTACTAATTTCTAAGTGTATCTCACTGCTGTCTCCCAACAAGTGTTGCCATGGAGAAGTAGAAAAAAGAATGGCAACAGAGACAATGATTTTAGAAAGGCCTTGTTTCTATGGATCTATCACAGAAAAGGTAAGTACTAGTTAACCTTTCAATATCAGTTCACATAAATGAATGGAATAAGCTACTTTAATCTAAATCAGCTCTATGCCTGCTTAAGCTAAATTTAACATTTATTAGTCTAGGACAATGTATACTTTTTCTCACTTTTTGCATAGCTGATTCACTGCCTCTCTCGTGTCCGTCAAGCTTATTGTGTGAAGAGGACAATAGTGCTGGATCCAAAAAAGTGAATTTGTTAAAACCTATGGTTGAAAATGTTCCAACAAATAAAAGAAATCAAGTCAAAGGAGGGGTACAAAATGTTGTGCATGTGTGTCTGTGTTTTGCAAAAGACCGGACTGACCCCTTGGATAGCTTACTGAAGTAACCTACTCCAAAAAGTAATCAGAGCAAAGGAGTGGATCTAGAAAAAAAGGAAACTTTAATTTTAATTCACTGGCTTCTATATTTGATTCCTTCAAGTCAGTGTTGATTCTTTGCAACTGCCAATACAAGTCCCTGCATTTATTTATTTGTTTGTTTGTTTATTTAGCAAAATTTCAGAAGTGGCTTACCATTGTAGCGCCCTCTTCCTACGCCTGAGAGAGTGACCTCTCCCCCCCAGTTGGCTTTGTGCCTGAAGTGGGACTAGAAGTCAGTTCCCTGGTTTTGAGCCTGGTGCCTTAACCACTACACCAAACTGGCTATCTTAATTAATAATTATATATTTTAATTCACTAATAGGCATCAAATAATTCAATAATATTAATCTTTATAATTTGGTGGTTCCTTTGAAGATATTAAGGAAACATCATCCAAGGCCCCTGAGAAATTACATCTCTGTTCTATCATTTTCACTGCCCCGAGGTATTCATTCCTCTTGAATTGTCCTTCCTTTGAATTCTATTCTGATATGTAGCTAGACTTTTTCCCAGTAAGGTGTTTAAAAACCTAAGTCATGTAACAGCTGGGCAACCTTCAGGGATGCTATGACTATTACATTGGTTTCAACTGGCTGTTCTTTAGAGACAAGGGATTAGTTTATATAAAACTAACATACTCTTGGACTTTACAACACAGCTAATAATTTGAACCAAAGGACAGAAAAAAATTAATCTTTATTTGATAAATTAAGTTGTAATCAGGACTCAGACTATAGTTAAAAAGAACTATGGTTGGCTTAAATAGAAATGGAAAATGAAATCTTGAATTTTATATTTAAGATAGGGATAAAACATTTTTCCAATTAGGATGGGGAAGAGAATAGAGACTAAGTCAAACAACTGACTCTTTATATATGAAGTTTATAAATAATAATTAGCTTTATGCACCAAGACAAATTCCTTGTGTGTCCAATCACACTTGGCCAATAAAAAATTCTATTATACATACTGTATACATACTGTATGTATACATACTGTATACAGTATGTATACATACTGTACATTTAAAAATATGTCTCCAAGAGATTGCCCATCACATAATACTATGAAGAAAAAGAAAATTCTGATAACAATAATGTGCATTGTCCATGTATCTCTCTCTCTTTCTCTCTCTCTCTCTCTCTGTGTGTGTATGTGCTTCTCTGCTAGCAAATGTAATTTGTTATGATTCATTTTTATTTGCTTATGGATTGCATCCCCTCAATAAACTAACCCTCCAAGTAAAGTATAACACTCAAACTAAATCACCAATTTGGCCTGAGGTAGAAATATATAACTGGGTTTATATTTATAACATCTCAACTTGAATTGGGAGATGACCTCTCTCAGCAGCTTTATCTTAAACAGAACCAAAGAATCTTGAGACAACCTCTTTCCTTTTGTTAAACTGACTGAATTGACTTGCATAGGTAGGAAAGTGCCTCGAATTTCTAATCCTTGCAGACCATTCAGAAAAAATATTGTGGTTGACAATATTGAAGGCTGATGAGATTAAGATAAGGAAGGTTGTGCTGTCACTATTTAAGTTCCATCACAGAATATCCATGAGTGGCCAGCGCTGCTTCCATCTCATGCCAATATCTAAATCCACATTGTCTACCAGATGGTACTGGACTTTTAATTCCCTGACTGTATTGCTCACTAGGAGTTTTGAGAATTGTAATACAATAAATAGGAAAAGAAGTCGGTTAGGGACAAAGGCTGGCCTAGATCCTTGTTACAGGTACTCAATTTATGACAGCAACTGAGACTAGAATTTCTCTTGTTAAATAATGCAGTCATAAAGTGCAACTGTATTGCTTAGCGACTATAATCCTTGAACTCCTAGTTGTCACAAAATCCCACGATCACGTGATTGTGAGGCAAGGCAACTTCCCGTTGACTTCCCACAACCAAAATCAGTGTGGAAGTCAGCAGGAAGTTGCAAGTCTCCAGGATGCAGGCAGGTAAGTGGCTGCTGCCAAATGGGAACCTAGGCGAGGGGGTATGCAAGGGGAAGGTCAGAGAAGGTACTGCGAAGGTAGCCAATGATGATCATGTGGCATTTGACAACTAGTCGTAACAGTAGTGGGTTTCAATTTTGGCCGCTACCAGTTCACTTGTGGGTGCGTGTGCATGCGCAGAGACATCCGGGCAGGTAGGAGGAACCTCCTGCCACCGCCGCCGGATCGCTTGATCCGGGGCGAACCGGTAGCAACCCACCACTGAGTCATAAGTGTGAGCAGGTAGCCCAGTATCGAGGCTGTGATCATGTGACCCATGGGAGTCCTGGGACAACTGGAACTCTGAGGACTGGTCATAGCCACCATTGGTTCAGTGTTGAGTAACTTGTAATGATCACAAGTTCACAGATCATAGGTCCAGGATTATCTGTATAGCTTTCTTCACCTGAATTTATAGACTAAAGGACACTTGGTACTCACAACTTTTACTTATTTACTTCAATTTAAGAATTGCATTTTTTTTTTTTTTTTTTTTTTTTAGGTGTTTTTAAAAAGATTACCAGGCATTGATCTGTTGCTATTGTTCAAGTACATTAAAACTCAGATATGGATGCCTGATGTTTTCCCTTCCTCCACCCTTTGGGAATGTCCTAGTTACAATTGCGAAAGAACTCAGCAGGAAAACTTGAATGGTGCTCTCTATACACTATGGCAATTACCAGGAGAAAGCAGTGTAGCTCTATGCTTTTTGGAACAATGACTGGCTCAGTGTGACTACATATGGAGAGGATAATACATAGGTCAAGGAGACGTAGAGTTTCAGAATATGATTTAGCACGTCCTTCATTCTGGGAATGAGCAGTCCTTTTTTCTTTTCAATTTTTACCTGAGCAATTGTATCTGTACAGCAGATAATAGCTTCCTTTGTGCTAAACGCAGAGTAGCCTGCTGGGTATCAGAAGAGAATAACCAACTTCTATCATTTGAGCAAGGAGCATCCACTAGGATCTGAATAATCAACGACAACAACAACAACAAAAGGTTTAGTAGAATTACAAAACAATCACAGAGTTAAAGCATACTAGTTAGTTTAACCAAACTAAGACATTTCTTACAAATGGCTAACCAGCATTTGAATAAGTCTGAGTAATTGGTCCTATTGTTGTTAGAAAGCTTTTAACGTTCAGTAAGATATTGTCTTTCTGGAACTTAAATCCATTAAGACCTGTATCCTGGAATAATAAACAGATCTTAAACTTTGTCTATGACATAGAGTATTTCAAAAATATATAAATGTTATAAAATTCCTCCATTAATGTTTCCTTAATTTTCCCTTATCAAGGCTAAATTTTTCCAGAGGTAGCAAAAGGTTATGAAAAAATTATATCTGTTATAACATGCTTTCTAACAAAGACCCCAGTTTATACATTAAAAAAACAACCTTTTGTATTCCATGCCATATGTATAATTTGTATAAAAGCAAGATGGCATTAACTTCTTCTTGAGCAAATAATTATGAAAGTGTAAAATAGTTTAGAAATACTTCTTACTACATTATAGTCTACAACACAAGACCTTCCAAAAGAGTCTACTGTAATGGGTAAAAAAAAATGGAGGACTAAACTTAGTGCACTTTATAAGTACATGCTTCTTTCTTAATTAGCAAATTACTACTTTTTTGGTATAAATTTATTAAAGATTTTAAGAAGATTAAAAACAATCCGAAATTAATAACAAGTATAGAAAGAAAAGGGAAAAAGAAAAAGACTAAAGTACAAAAAGATAAAACAGAAATCCTTTGCAGCAAATACAAATATGATTATAAAATCTTAACTATATTCTTACAATAAAAAGCTCTGTGCTTTCTATAGTCTGAAGTGCAGAAAAGAGCAACAAAGATGATTAGGAGACTGGAGGCTAAAACATATAAAGAACAGTTGCTGGAATTGGGTGTGCCTAGTTTAATGAAAAGAAGGATCAGGGGTGACATGATAGCAGTCTACTAATATCTCATGGGTTGCCACCAAGAAGAAATCAAGCTATTCTCCAAAGCACCTGAAGGCAGGACAAGAAGCAATGGATGGAAACTAATCAAGGAGAGAAACAACTTATGACTAAGAAGAAATTTCCTGACAGTTAGAACAATTAATTAGTGGAACAACTTCCCTATAGAAGTTGTGAATGCTTCAACACTGGAAGTTTTTAAGAAGAGATTGGACAACCATTTGTCTGAAATGGTAGAGGATTTCCTGCCTGAGCAGGGGGTTGACCTCCAAGGTCCCTTCCAACTCTGTTACTCTACTCTATAAATCAAAAGTTCATTTTTTTCCCTGCTTCATGCAAGAAATCTATAAAGGGTTTCCAGTCAGCAACAAATACAGATATTGTGTTTTTCTGTATTTCTCTGTCAAAGAAGTCCATTTAATCATCTCTGCAAATTCCATCATCTTCATCAGCCATTCCTCCATTGCAGGCAGTACATTTACACTTACATGCACTTTTGAGTATATAATAATTTGACTGCAATCAGTTATCATATATAAAATTAAGTAGAAAATTAATACTGATAATCTTTGTTTTAAATTGCTGGGTTGAATTATGTGTATATGTGTTTTTCACTGATATTATATATTGCTTATATTGCTTTATGGGATTTTTATTTATTATTTTTCACATTTCTGAACTGCCCTTCCTGCTAGAGGATCCAGTTAAGATCCCAAAGCTCCTGAGATTTAATGCCCTGTTGCAAATTGTCACAGGAAAACATACATATATGTATAACTTGTAATTATACACACCATTTTCCTTGTCAAATACAGCCACCCTGGTGTATGATATATTCATTATCAGACCAGGAACCTTTGATACGTTATACAGTCTAACAATTTCTAGGAGTCTGGAATTACTTTTTCTAACTAATACATTTTATTGAAAGGATACACTTTCATGAGCTGCAGTTTTTAATAAATTTTGTTAGCTGGAACAGATTCTACCATCTTTACGTGTCTTCTGCTATTAATCTGAATCTGATATTTGGTATCATAGACTCTCTTCCTACAATGTCTACTATTCAATACTAATCATTTGAATTCTTAGCCAACCACACAGCATCATCTGTACCAAAAGTATACTACACCTGTAACATCACAAGCCTGCTTATGCATTTTGTCCGTAAATATATAAACAACTAATGAGAATCATACAGGCACGTTCCTAACTCAAGATCAAACCATTCACTAAGGATTTCATTTATTCTCATACATGTTTTCATTCCATTGTTGGAAGAAACATCCTTCTAGGTTCTGCTCCAAGTGGGGAAAACAGACACTGGAAACATGGAGACTGCTTGGAAAGATGGTTTAATGGTGGACAGGATCACATGGCTTGAGTTCCTGAACAGAAAAAGGGACAGATACAGTAAATCCTCGGGTTTTTATGCTCTCTCTGGCTCTGCATTTCTTGGGGCCCCAAAAGAGTATCCTGATTGGTTGTCAGACTCCCAGGGGGGTGGGGGCCTTGCTGGCTGATGGTCACATGTGCTTCCCAGGTCACATGTGGTGAGTTTCTGCTGCTATTGTGTAGAGGGCTAATCCTATCTTTGGCAATTCCTACTATGGCTCTGCCTGAAGGAGGCAGATCTTTGTTATGTAGAATAGACTGGCCCAGGCCTTAATGGCCCATTGACAAAAGGTGGGGGGCAGGAAGGTGGGAGCTGCTTTGTCTGTAAAATATGCTTCTCATATTTCTCATACAGGGAAATATAATATTCTGCCTTTTTCATATTTCCTAAAATATTTCACTCTTCCAGGAAAGGGGTGGGTGCTAACTTCCTACACCATCATACATTAATAATTAGCAACCAATTTTCAATTTACACAAAACACTTCACTGTTCAAGCTGACAGCATTTATGATTTTATATTTCATTTGATTAAGAAGTGTTATGTGGCTACCCAGCTTTTGCACCATAGCCTTAGATAGCTGTCAGAAAATTAAGAATCCAAATTTTTAATAAAGTTTATAACAAAACTTCCTGGCACTCAAAAGAAAAATCTCCTACATTTATCAACATTTAAGTTTTTCTAGGCACCAGTCCCATTCTACCCCAACACTGCGGGAAAAGGTTCCTCTTGGTTTCCAGCAGTCTAGGAGAGTAGCAGCCTGCCAGATCTTAGATGGAAGGGTGTTCCACGATCAAGGGCATTAATTTTTAGACTATTCATTTCAATTCTACATTCAATACATCACTGTCATTCCTCTATAAATCTCTAAAACACTCTTTCAGCATTTCTTCACTTTGACTTCATCCCAAATGATTTCATCACTTTTACTTTTAATTCAGTTCTCCCTGTTGAAGGTTCCTCATTCAAACCTTTTTATCCATTTCCAATTTTATTTCCACTGTAATCACTCTGCATTTTCTCTCCTTTAACCTTTCCTTGCTTGTTCTTAAATCTTTTCAGCTGTTTTTCTCTATACAGACTTTATTTTTCAAATTGATGTAGCTACCCATCTCATAAACAAATGACTTTGGGCAGCATACAAAAAAATAAAAAAAACTATTTACAAATAACAATCATTATTAAAAACATTAAGAACTATAAAACACAGCTAAATAGGCGAAGGTATGTTAATACAGAGCTACCTCACTAGTTCACCAATTCCCACGAGTCCCTAGGCTTAATGCATAACCATACATTATACATTTTTTTCCATATTTTTTTTCATTAATCATTCTCTTATATGCAATTTTCTCATAGATTCGTCATTTATTTCATTATGCTATTAAGGATGTTTCTCATGCATGCATTCATGTCTCCACACTTATCACTGGCATTCTGTAACAATTTCCACTTACTCTGTTGGGATACTAATCTATCTTTTAACACAGTTTCATACTTTCCCTTCTGGCAATTATTTAACTTTGATTCTACTTTCTTTCACTAATTTCTACATTTACGTTTTTTAAAGTTAACTGCAAAATTCCCTGCTAATGGAAGGAATATGCCTGACAATACGAATACATTTCGTTATATTACAAAGGCCAATTTTATCCCAAGCATGCTCACACAATTCTAGGTCAGTGACTTACTCACAATCCACCACCTAGAAAGTGCATATGCAGTGTATTCTGCACACCTGAACTGTAAGGATACTATATGGATGTAGTTATGTCTCCCACTCCAGGCACAAACATATGTACATACATTCATAGACACACTCTTTGGCTATTCTTAAAAGTTTTTATAATTACATTTTTAATTGCTAGTCCTACCTTAGGCAGGAATCTGGACAATGGGACCTCCAAGCCACTAAATCCTCCAAGTACCAGCCTTGACTGCCCCAGCTCTCTGGAACCAGTTACCTTCTGAGGTCTGGATTACCCCGACCCTATTGGCCTTCCGGAAAGCGGTGAAGACCTGGCTTTTCCGGCAGGCCTGGGGCCGTTGATCTCACTGTTCAATCTTGCGAAATCTGGCCATGGATAGTGTACATGTGTTTTTAATGTTTTTAAAATGCTTTTACAATGTTTTTTTTATTATTATTTTTATGTTCACTGTATTATTTCTGTTGTAAGCCGCGCAAAGTCCCTTGGGAGTTGGGCGACATAGAAATATGATTAATATGATTAATTAAATTAAATTAATTAAATTAAATTGAACAATTCTGTTATATTATTATCTGTAACTGCAAAAAAGCCAATGCATTCCTAAGCAGCAAGAACAGAATGATAGTATCAAGATAATGAGTAGTGATAATACAATTTTATACTGAACATGTAAGACTATACTTGGAATACTGTGTCCAGTTCTTGTCACCACAATATAAAAAAGATGTTGAGACTCTAGAAAGAGTGCAGAGAAGAGCACTCTTGATAGGTGGTATAGTGGCTAAACCCTATGCTAAACGGTTGAAGGAATTAGGTATGTCTAGTCTAATGACTTCTCCACAGCACTTGATCACAGAACAAGAAGCAAAGGGTAGATTATTAAAGATATCCAACCTAAAATTAAGGAGAAATTCCTGACAGTGAGAACAATTAAATAGTGGAATGGCTTGCCTCCAGAAGTTGGGTTGCTCCATCTGTGAAGGTTTTCAAGAAGAGATTGGACAAGTATTTGTACGAAATAGTATAGGGTCTCCTCAAGCAGGGGTTGGACTAGAAGACATCCAAGGTCTCTTCCAACCCTGTTATTCTATGTTCTGCTATTATTCTTGGAGAGGAGACCCAAAAGAAACCAATGCTATATTTCTGAACGAAAAATAAAAATGTATTTTTTTCTGTATTCTGTACAAAGAAAGAGCTATCACTATAATTTATTTTAATTAGATAAGTTAACAAGAGATAAGAGAAAAACTTAGCCTCCATAAAATTATTAGCCAATATAGACAAACCTTATCAAACTTTTCAGGCTGAAGATTTCCTATTTCTCTTCCATCGTTCGTAGAAACAGTAATTAGGCTCATCAAAGATTCTGGAATGAAGGATTCTAGTGTCTGCTTCAACCAATGGAATCTCAAGTTATCATATTCATTTGACTGTAAAAGTCCTATGCAAGAAAGTTAAGATTTAAAAAAATACATAGCCAAGCCAGTTTTCTCAAGCCATTTAGACTATATTTGGATATACCGCAAATTAATTCCTAAATTTTAAAAAAAGAATGCCATGAGAGCATCCTTTATCAATGTCTTTGAATAAACTTAAATATGTTTTGGGGAACAAACTTGCTAACAATGTATCATTGAGTTTACTAATGGAGTGGTTTATCTGGGACGGTACGGTGGCTCAGTGGTTAAGACGCTGGGCTTGTTGGCTGGAAAGCCAACAATCCAAGTTCGAGACTGGTAAACTCCCGTCTTCACCTACTTTAACAGTTCGAAAGCATCCAAAGAGTACATAAAAATGTACCAGGTAGGAAACAGTGCTCTGTGACGTCATGCTGGCCACATGAACCTGGAAATATCTTCGAACAGGGCTATCTCAACAACCCTTGAAACAAAGATGAGCACCACCCCCTATAATCGGTTACGACTACAAAGTAAAATCCACAGGAACTCCTTTCCTTCCTTCTTACCTGGGCAAGCATACTGCAGTGTGGCTACTGATTTACCCCCTGGAGCAGCACACATATCCAACACTTTTTCTCCATCTTTTACTTCCAGAGCCAGTACTGCCAGCAGAGAGGCAGCATTTAGCAAGTAATACTGCTTTAATTGTCCATCTCTGTGTTTCTGAGCAGGGAATTTTCCGGGGGCATCACTGATGTAACATTTCAATGATTGTGGAAAACAGGATGAAGGTCTTGTGAAAAGGAGGCGATAGTTCTTTAAACACAAATAAGACTCTATTTCAGAAGAGCATCTGAATTTATTAAGGAGGACTGCATATTGCCAGTACTGCGGTGTTGTAAGAACTTCCCTGCATATGAAAGAAAAAAAATCCAGGTATGCAGTGATATGTAAGAATTCAACAATTTGTTAATATGTATAGTTGTATCTGAAAGGTTAGAGAGGTTAAACTGATGGTCATTAATTTCTAGATTCAGTTACACAGGATGGCAATTAAAACAGGACAGAAAATTGCACATCTTTTAATCTAAAAAAAGCCACTCTGAATGTGTATGCACAAGGTGAAAGTGCAGGAATTGAGTTGCAAAATGTGGCCTTGAAGTCAGGAAAAATTCATGTCTTTTATCACTTGCTACCCAATTTATTTTTTTATCATTAAGTCCGTATAAGAAAGGCATTGTAGTGGCATTGTGGTTATGCTGTTGTTTTAAGGGTCAAATGATCAAGATTCAATGCTCCTGGAATTTGCTGTCTGTTTTTATATGACTTACTTAAGTCATATAATTGAGTTAATTCATTTTCTGTATTCAAACAGTGAGTAAATCAATTTAATGACCTGGGATTGCTGGGATTGCATAATAGAAAGCCAAAGTTAAAACTTTATATGTATATAATATATGTATAATATATACGTTTGTTTGTTTATTTATTTATTTATTTATTTATTTATTTATTTATTTATTTATTAATTCAATTCAATTCAATTCAATTCAATTCAATTCAATTCAATTCAATTCAATTCAATTCAATTCAATTCAATTCAATTCAATTCAATTCAATTCATATCCCGCCCTTCTCCTAGTGGACTCAGGGCGGTGCACAGCCAGAACTAAAACCACGTATCAATACAAAATTTAAAATTATTAAAAAAATTAAATAACTGTGGCCCAAAAAATTTAAAACATTGAAAACTAAAATCCATTTAACAATTTAAAAGCTAAAAAAGACTAAAAAGGGGGGGGGGGTTTCACGCCAGCCCCGCTTGATGGAAAAGAAAAGTTTTTAGGGCACGGCGAAAAACCCGGAGATCCGGAATCCTTCGTATCTCCGGGGGCAAATCATTCCAGAGGGCAGGAGCTGCCACAGAGAAGGCCCTCACCCTGGGGGTCGCCAGCCGACATTGCCTGGCTGACGGCATCCTGAGGAGTCCCTCTCTGTGGGAGTGTACTGGTCAGTGGGAGGCTATCGGCAGCAGAAGGCGGTCCTGCAAATACCCAGGTCCCATGCCATGGAGCGCTTTAAAGGTGGTAACCAACACCTTGAAGCGCACCCGGAAGACCACTGGAAGCCAATGCAGCTCACGCAGGAGAGGTGTCACATGGCCCCGTCGCTCCCATAATCCCCCGCGCGGCCACATTCTGCACCAGTTGGAGCCTCCGGGTGCTCCTCAAGGGGAGCCCCATGTAGAGAGCATTGCAGTAGTCCAGGCGGGAAGTGACAAGCGCCTGAGTGACTGTGCGTAAGGAGTCCCGATCCAGAAAGGGACGCAATTGGCGAATCAGGCGGACCTGATAAAAACGCGACCAATGCCGTTTCTGTGCTGTGCCCAGGCCTGAAGCCGGACTGGAGCGGATCCAGATAGACAGCTTCATCCAGGTACCTAGGAAGCTGTCGCGCCACCACACTCTCAACAACCTTCGCCAAGAAGGGAAGGTTGGAGACCGGACGGTAGTTAGCCAAAACATCCGGATCCAGAGTAGGCTTCTTGAGGAGGGGCCTCACCACCGCCTCTTTCAAGGCAGATGGCAAGACACCCTCACTCAAGGAAGCGTTGATAATCCCCTGGAGCCAGCCTCGCGTAACCTCCCGGGAAGCCAGCACCAACCAGGAGGGACACAGGTCCAATAAACATGTGGTAGCATTCAGCCGCCCCAGTATCCTGTCCACATCCTCGGAAGCAACAGGATCAAACTCCTCCCAAATGGCTCCCAAGACTGGCACCAATCATCCCGTCAGTACCTACCCAGTCAGAGACCAAGCCTTCCTGAATCTGAAGGATTTTATCGTCCAGATACTGAACAAAATCCTCGGCACGATCCTGCAAGGGATCCTCCCGCGCTCCCAGATGGAGGAGGGAGCGGGTGACCCTAAACAGGGCAGCGGGGCGGTTATCTGCTGATGCAATAAGAGCGGAAAAATAGTTACATTTTGCCGCTTTTATCGCCACTAGGTAGGTCTTAATATGAGACCTTACCAGTGTTCGGTCGGATTCGGAGCGACTAGATCTCCAACTGCTCTCTAGGCGTCTTTTCCAGTGCTTCATCTCCCTCAGCTCCTCGGAGAACCAAGGAGCCAGGTAGACTCGGCGACGGGTCAGAGGCCTCACAGGCACGACTCGGTCCAAAGCGTCAGCAGCCGCCCTATCCCAGGCGGCCACCAGCTCCTCAGCCGAATCGTGAGTCAGAGCCTCAGGAAGTGGCCCAAGCTCCATTTGGAACCTATCAGGATCCATCAGGCACCTGGGGCAGAACCATCTGGTCTGTCCCACCTCCCTGCGGCGGGGTGTGGCGGTTAGAAAGTCAAGCCTAAGAAGGGAATGATCCGACCATGACAAGGGCTCAGTCACTAACTCCCCTATCTCGAGATCATTCATCCACTGTCCAGAGACAAAAATCAAGTCCAGAATGTGTCCTCCCATGTGAGTGGGTCCATGAATTAATTGGGTCAGGTCTATGGCCGTCATGGAAGCCATGAACTCCCGGGCCACCTCAGATGTATATGCACATATCAGGTGCATATACATATATATGACCTGATATGAACAAGAAGCAATGGGTGGAAACTAATCAAGGAGAGAAACAACTTAGAACTAAGGAGAAATTTCCTGACAGTTAGAACAATTAATCAGAAGAATAACTTGCCTCCAGAAGTTGTGAATGCTCCAACACTGGAAGTTTTTAAGAAGAGATTAGATAACCATTTGTTTGAAGTGGTGTAGGGTTTCCTGCCTAAGCAGGAAGTTAGACTAGAAGACCTCCAAGGTCCCTTCCAACTCTGGTATTCTATGTCAAATTAATATTCCAGCTTTGTTCAGAATCTTAAGGCAGCACACATTTGAATATTACGCAACTGCAACTACAAGGTCACCTGGTTAAATAAATAGTGCAAATTCAACCAATGGCTGAATTTGGATCAGTCATTGTATAGCCAGGTTGGGTGAACAAAAATAAGGCAGGATATAAATGCTAACTATTGTACAACATTTATGCTGTCTTCCTAAAATCTTGGGTGCAGCCCATTAAGAAGAGGAAAATCATACAAAGACGCTGATCTTATTTTGTACGTTTAATACCTCTAATTGTGGTTAAAATTGAATTTAATTGAATCACATTTATGTAACATTTGTGCAGGTTCTGCCTAACCCATTTAAAAGCTAAATATGGATGCCATTTAAAAGCTAAATATGGATTTTGGTATGAAAACGTATCTAATTATATCTAATTGATATAATTAGATAGACCGCATCATACTGGGTCAGTAGAACAAAATAGTATCACCAAGAGACTGTTTACCAAAATCATATAATTTTCAAGCCACTATTCTTTAATCACCATACTGACTGGGGTTTTCTAGGATTTGAAGTCCATTTCTGTTCGAGTTGTCAAGGTTGCGAAACACTGGTTTATAGGATACCTCTTTTCTTTTCTGTCACATTGTAATTATGTGACAGAGTAGTGTTGTGATTATAGCATTGAAGCACAATTCAAACTGAGAAATATGTATATAAACCCATGCAATTTTCTAAAATTAAACTTAGGAAAATCTAAAGGAGATACACAAATTGATGTGTCTAATTCATAAGCAAAGGAAAAATATTTGCAGATATTCAACTACATACGGTACTATTAAGAGGAAGCACTAGCATTGAAATCAGAAGATTTAGCTTGAGTTGAATCTGTGGAACCAATCCAGAAAATTATTAAGCCTGATTTTTAAAATATAGATTTCTATGTCAAAGATACTGTATCTTATGATGGGAAAGTAAATCCCACAATTTTACTTCTCTTCAAAACATACACAACAATCTCATAGGAGGAAACAGCTTCCTTACTCTTTTCAAGAATTCTGAATATAATGGTCTCCAACATGGGGACTCTTGACATCTGTAATAAGCAAAAGGAAGCGGATCTGTGGTAGGCTGGGAAAGGACTGCAGAGAGACCAGATCTATGGTTCTCTTTTCTAATTGGTGTATAACCTACATCAGTTCTAGAATTGAAACCATCTGAAAAATAAAATACAAAAATACTGCTTTTGCAACATCTATTGTGGAAAGTTGGACATTACACTTTTTAGCTATTCTGACCTTCTGTTTCATTCAATTAGATTGTCTTTTCAGTTTTTCACATCAGACAGAATTAGCTAGAAAATTGTAGATTTTCTGCAGGAGCAATTCTTCTGCCTCTTGCTGCACGTTTGTCAAAAACCATCAAAGCATTTATTTTGAAATTCCCATCACCCAATTTTGTCATTCATAAGGTCTGCATATGTGTCAAATGACTCCAGTATGGAATGCTGACGTCTGCCTTTCATAAACCATCCCATCCCAGGGATTGATGGGAGCTATATTCCTAAATATTATCAGAAATATTGAATTAAGAGCAGGGTCATTAAGGAGGAGGATTTTGCTATAAATATATATTTATAGTGATCGATATACCACCAGTTCAGCTTTGGCTCCGTTTTATAAGAAAAAAAATCTAACATAAAAAAGTTTTGGCATTTGGAAGACAAGTACAATTTTAATTATTAAAAAAGGATGGATTGGGGTCAGGAGGAAAGAGTAGAAAGAAAACAAAACAAAACAAAACAGAAATTAACCTGACTGAATTCCATGCTCCTCCCAACTCTTCAGAGTATTGTTTCTCGAAGTGATTGAGAACAACCTGACATATTTGCTTCTGAAGCTTTCTTTCTGATGTTGGTTCTTTCTGTGTGAGAGAAAGAAAGAGAGAGAGAGAGGGAGGGAGGGAGGGAGGGAGGGAAAGGGAGTGGGAGGGAGAGAGAGAGAGAGAGAGAGAGAGAGAGAGAGAGAGAGGGCATAAATTCCCTGTATGCAAGTTACATTTAACCAGTAAATATTTCTCTAAGACAGGCCAATTTCGGGGACAGATTATTTGCAGTAGGGATCATTCACATCGCTTACACCTTTTGAACGTAAAAGTGAGAAGAAAACGCCTAAAGCTCAAGCATCTGCACTATTGTTTTTTGCAAAAAATTGTAGAACCCCCTTCTATCCCAACGAGAGAGAAAAAAGAAAAGAAAAAATGCACCTTTCCATTAACACCGGAAATGAGATCTAAACCTTTCTCCCAAAACTTTAACCTTAAACTGTCTACTGTTGACTTCACCCCATTCCTAAGAGGTCTGTAAGGGGCGTGCATAAGTGCACCAGCGTGCCTACCGTCCCTGTCCTAATATTCTTTTTTACGTACTCTTTTCATTTATTCAAATTAGGTTTATACTTTTACCTGTTGTCTTATATATGCTTGACAAATAAACTTATGATTATTATGATTATGATTGTACTGGCGAAGCAAAGCTAGCCGAGATCCCCATCTCTAAATAGATAGGATATAATTTCACTTTATACCAGAGGTCTTCAAACTCGGCAGCTTTAAGACTTGTGGACTTCAACTCCCAGAATTCTCCAGCCAGCTATGCTGGCTGGCTTTATACCCACTTAAAGTCGACTTTGGGCATTCTGGGAAAACCACCGAAACGCGGCGAAGCGAAAGTGGGGTCTTCTCAACCGGTTCGCGCTCACCTGGCTCCTCGCCGAAGAATACCGCTCCTTTCTGTGTCGCCGAGCGGCAACCAAATTCGCCCGAACCATCCCCCGCGAGAACACGGTCAACATTGGAAGCGGCGCGCACGTTGTCCTTTGCAGCCCTAGTCGGGCCGGCGGAAGCGCCTCAGAAAACCGAGTCGCGGATGGAGAGGGCACGGAGGGGAGCGCAATTTAGCGCCCCCTGCCGGGGAGGAGCTGACAACGACTCGTAGCACAGCAGCAGCATCAGACTAGGCGGGATAGAATGTGGGGCTGGAACGTAGCTAGTTCTTCATTTTTAAAAAACTCCTTGGGGGTCGGGAGTGCACTATATAAATAAATGAAAAGCTAGCTTCTAAAAACAGGATCTACTTGAATCTGATCTTTGCTTGCCGGTATTTTTCCCCCAAACATAATTGATGCTTTATTGGAAAACCAAGGGTCCCTTAATTTCTATTAAGAGGACAGTCTAGAAAATAGTACATTTATCTTCTGCTTTTTGTTTTGAAGTCGTGGCAAATTACATTGTACTCCCGTTTTCCCTCACAACCACCCTGCAACGTAGGCTGGCCCAATGGTACTAGTGGGCTTCTCTAATTGAAGGGAGACAGACCCTGGATTCCCCTGGTGCTTCACTCCTTCTCATTGGCTCCTAATAATTGTTTCTGAATCTTAAAAGCAGAGTGATCAGTGTCTTGGGTCTGCATTTTTTATGCCATTTTGAAACAATGAATTCAGATAGACCCAGTGAAAAAACTTGATAGGGTCCAAACCTGAGTTTTACATGTTTGCATCATGAGGGTATCAGAAATCGTTCATTGGTCACAGATAGGTGTTATGTGCAATTTGAAAATGTTAGATGGAACCCCTCTAAAATGTACATTTTTTGGGTGACATTAATAGCAAATGTTTATAATTTGATCACTGATTTTGTCAGTTGGTCAGTAATTCTCCATTTGGAGAAATGCCCAAACTGCTTAAGGAATGGGATAAGATGTGGAATACCAGAGACTTACAAAAATGAACCTATGGAAATGACCTCCAAAGGATTTCTTGAAGCAAATCATAGGACAACCAGTTGTAAAACTAGATTCTAAGATTTATTTTATGGTTAATTTTATGCAGATTAATTACATGTGATTGTGGTTTCATTTGAATGGAAATTTCATTGGAATCCATGATCCAGGGCTTTTTGTTCAGGTAACATCAAAACCAGCTGGGACTATATAACTAATGGGTCAGTGAATGCAGATGTCTGATTTGATGATAGGTTCATGTGAATACTATGTAAAAATCAGAATCACGAAGATCTATGCATTATATTCATTTTTATGGCTATGAATTCCCTCATTGCTCCATTTTATCTCTTATGCTCTTTAACGTCTACATTAAACTGCTGGTAGGCTGATGTAGGTTGAGATGCCAAAAATACATGGATGATACCAAGATCTCCCTCTCCATTTTAAAAAGTCTAGCATAGGTGAGACAATTGAAGTAGCACTTAGACAAAGTGAACTGGATGAATCCCAACTAGCTGATGTTTGTGAGTTGTACATCTGCCGTGTCTGCCATTTATCCAAAGAAGCAGGTTTGCAGTTTTTCAAACGGATACATTTTGCTAAGTAAGAATAAGGTATGCTACATCCAGACTCTACAGAAGAGATAAGCAACCTGCTGCTTTGTGGGTATTAAGATGCTGGAGTCCAAAAGCTGTTAAGACTCCAAGTTACTAACTCTTGCTCTACATTAGGGCTGGGCAAGCCTGGAAAAAGTAGTAGCTGCTTTAAAATACATTAACTTCAATGAACTGATTCCTTAAAATTGTTTCGCCTTTTCACAGTCTCAACCCTTTAAAGCACTGCTTTTTTCCCCCAGGATCGAATGGAAATGGTTGGTAAAATGAATAATGGAGAAGTGATGTGCTCACACAAGAGCCAAAGTATTTCTTTAAAATAATTTCTGAAACAGAAGCCTTACTCCATCCAACCTTGTGCTCAAATGCGTTGGGGAAATTTGAAAATCTATCACACTTCAACTGGATTCTTTAGCAAGTCATTAATGAAACTTACAATTAAAAAAAATAAAAACTGTGTTCCAGATAAAGTTAATTGTACTATGAAATATTAAATCACATTTCTGTGTATCTTTATTTCAGACATAAAAACATTAAATGTACTATTCAATAAATAAACAAAACGAAAGTCAACATGTTAAAAACACGTTCCTAGTACTTATGCATCTGGTAACAATAAAAATCCCATGAATATGCTTCATTATTGAATCTATTTCCACTAATAAAATAGAAGGTAAATAATTCTTCCTATGACTTGCAACTTCCCATGAGTTGCCCTCAATATGTTCTCCAGACAGAAAATCTTCTATTTGAAACAGATTTTGAGGACTGAAGGTAGGGAAAAATACAGCATGGGTAAGGAGGAAGTCCTATTGCATAAGCCTTGAGAGAGGAAAAAATGTTTTTGAGCTTCAAGAAAGTAGGACAGTCCTTAACTAAAAGGGAAATGAAAAACAAACTTCAATTTTTGTAATCTAAAAATTCAGGAATTCCATATATATGGAAACAATTATGTACCATGAATTATGCACCATCTTTTACATTAGCCAGAAAGTAATCTTACAACACCAAGCTCATTCAGCTTGCAACTGACTATGTTTATGAGACTATTTTTATATGACTTTAGGATAGATACAGATCATGTATGAAAGGATTAAAATTGATCAGTTTCATGACTGTTACTGTTACATGGGCGTTACTGTTATGAAGCAGAACAAAAGCATTACTTTAAACTGCAAAGAAACAGAAGCTTCTGAATAAGATATTGCTGGAAGGTGAGAATTTCCAACCCTCATTACATTCACAGATTTTTCAGTTTAGTATTAAGGCTTTATGATATTTGTAAGCCATTCAATTACTTTCACTATCTGAGCATATAGAGAAACCTCTGATCATATGCAAATTTTGATCATTTACCTCTAATATGCAATGAAGGAAAAGGAAGTAAAAATTGGATTGTAATGTTTTTTTAAAGAAAGGCATTTACATATTTTTAAAAATGTTCATTGTTAGAATAGTATTTGCAATTATTGACAACTGAAGCAATAAAAAAATCTTCAGGGGAGAAAGATACCTTTTTAAAATAAACATTGTCATTTATTTCAGCATATATGAAACCCCAACGTAATGGAGAAATGTGTCTGCGTGAATAAAATAAAGGTTATGGAGTAATTTGAATTCAAAGCCAAGGCTTGGGTTGTGAAGGAACATGAACTTTGCATCCACCTATTACTCTTTAAAATAGCTAAGCTTGTCCCATAAGCCTGGGAGAAGATACATTTGTTACATTTGGTATAAGGAGGTATAACTCAATTCTACATTCTACTTCTACTTATTTTAAAGTGACCCATAGCCTGGTTCCCCAATCCATATGTTCACATGTTCCCCAAGATGAAACAAGTACTGCAAGAGAAGTGGCCATGAATACTCTATACAGTAATTGAAGGACATTTCTTTCTATCCTTTGGAAAGTCAAAAGGTTCCCTCTCCCTCTAGCTCCAAGAACACAAAATTAATGGTCTCAATTAACCTCAGAAGTGCTGTTTCCCATCAAGGAAAACATGAATACAGTTTCTTTCCAACACACATTTCTTTCTGGTGGACCAAGAACAAGATAAAACGACATAATTAACAAATAGGCAAACTGTGAAGCAAATCACACACAAGTATATTGCTTTTCCAAAAAAAAATGTAGTAGATACTTATGAATATAGGTAGGCATTTTAGTATGTCAAAATAGTTCTGCTGATCAAATAATTTCTTAAAAACAAATAAAATACTATAAAAATATATCAAATTGTTTAAATGTACAGTTCATATTTTTCCCATTTGAACATGTGTGTACTTTTTAAAAAAATCTTGAAGTGTTGAATATAGAAAAATATTTAGCCAAACTGAAAGCATGTATGTGCATAATCAAGTTGAGTTTGGTCTTGTTTCCAGCAAGGGAAATAAATATCCTGTTGTCATTTCTTTTGTAAGAATTCTGCTTGTATGAGTTTCCTTGTTCCATATCAACTTTGAAGAGCAGCTGGTAAATTGAGGAAGCAGGATTGTTAACATTTAGAAGAAACATCCTTACCAGGAACCCAATGTAACTGTGATGCCCTTGCCCAGCAACTTGTAAGAATACCAGGTATCTCTTCAAAAAAGAAAGCAATGTCTAATGTAATGTTATTTTAGATTCCTCTTGAAAGCTACAAAATGACTGCAAGTTAAGAAATGACACCATGCATATCGCTGTTAGGTCTTTGATGTATAGCAAGTGGCGGCAATGGCTTTCCATAGAAATCTAAAGCACAAATTAGAAAAGAAATCAAATTAACAGACAATATACCTCTTATCCAACTATTGTGAATTGAACAGAAAAAAGGACATGGAATTCTCTGCTTATTTAATATGCATTCAAAAATCTTTAGCTTTCATCTGATAATTCTATCTTGTGCAAAATTTATATACTGAAAGATACAAGTTTGTTATACATGTTTATCGGTTTCACAATCTTTCTTTTACATTTTTGTCATTCCTTCTGGCTATAACTTTTACTTTCAGAATGACTTGTAAAAAGAGAAACACATTCGAAACTATTTTAGAATTACAAATACTCAGCCCACAACTACTCTATCCTAGACATAAAAACAAATATGGAGGAACTTTTTCCAACTGGTACAAATTAGTAATGTTAAAACATAAAGGAATTTTTAGTTAAACATAGTAATAATGTTATGTTTAGTTAGACATAACAATCTAAATTAACTGACACCAGATGGCTAGTATTCTTTATTATATATAATTATCTCAAAAATCCCTGTTACTGCCACTCTCAACCCACCTTATGTTTCATAAATAATATATTGATAAGAGTCAGAATATAGAAAACAAAAGGAATAATTTCGGAGAATCATTTCTATAAAAAGCATCTTTTCCCCTATTTTCCCAACTAATTCTAAATCAGAAGCAACCAACATTGAAGATTTAAAGGAGATATAAACCTTAGTGATTTGGAGATGTGAACAGCAGATTGCACTCAGTTGCAAAACCAAGTATCCGAGGATTTTTATGACAAATGCATTTTTTTTAATGTAAGCAGAATTTCAAAAAGGAAAACAAGGCAAGTGTCAAATTATTAAACCATGTTAGAACAGAAGCATCCATTTTAAAAAAAGAATTAAAAGACAGAATTCATCAGGCAAGCTTAGAATATGCAAAATTATAAAGCTATAGAAAGACAGTGAAGGCATTCAGAGAAAGCAGAACAGGACGTTGCATTGGTTATATTCCCCAGTTTTTAGGATTTTTTTTTTCTTTTAGTTGTGCTGACTATAGATTTTTAAATCTACCTATTGAAACATCATATTTTGCTTTAGTTTATCAAAACTCCTCCTTCCTCTCCAGATGTAAATTGATAATTAATGTTATCTGTTAAAACTGTTTAAACTCTACAACAGAGAAAATCTATGAAATTTCAATCTCTTGCAAGATATTAAGATATGTTTTTATTTATTTTGTATGGCATTAACAGAATGTTAAGTATGTATTTCCTATATATTTTCTACAAATCAAAAATACTTCAAGTGTAGAGTTGGATTATACAATACAACTAATTTGGTTACAAATACTTACAATAATATTCTAAGATAACAAGATCCTTTTTACAGAAGAGAACTGCTGAATCAGACCCAAGTCTATCTTAGTCCAGTATTTTGCCAACCTATATTCCTGCGGTGTACAGAAGCAGGAGGTAGAGACATTCAATCATCCTGCTGATGTTCTTCTACAACTTGTATTTGAAGGCATGCACCGCCAGCTGAGAGATAATATTTAGTCTTCAGAGCTAATGGCCCTTAATGGAATTGTCTTTCATGATTGTATCCACTCCCTTTAAAAGCCACCCAAATTACTGGACATCACAACTTGCAATACTGAATTCCAAAAATTGATTGTTGTGTATAGAAGTGCTTTTTCTAAAACCTTCAGTCAGGTTCACAGTATGACTCCTTGGCTTAGGGTTTTAATAAAAGGAGAAAAACTTCCCTTCACTTTCTCCATACCATGCATGATATTATATGCCTCAACTGTTAACTTTGTCCCGTCACTTTTTCTAAGTTAAAGGTGTTCTAGACTTTCTCATAAGGTAGGCATTCAAGACCCTAATAGTTTTGATTTCTGTATTCTTCACTTTTCCCAGAAATATTATAGTCTTTTTAAAAATGTGCCAACAAATTGTCCACAGTATTCCAGATGCTAATATACCAAATTACTATAAAGGAATGACAATGTTTTCAATTTCATTTTCAGTCTCTTTTCTATGGTAATGATTGCTAGCACAAATCTTGCCTTTTTCAAAGCTGACACATACGATTGGAACTTATGGCTGTCATGGCGTATCTGCAGTCAAACTGATGGGCTTTGCCAGTGGCACAGATCTATGATTGTTGCAGTGTCTCATGGTCATAAGATCACCACTATGACCATCACAGCCAGCTTCTGACAAGCAAAGTTAGCAAGGGAGCTGGCAGCAAGTCGCAATCATGTGACACCACATTTAACCATGAGTGATCTGCTTAATGACTGCAGTAGAGCTAATGTTATAAGTCAGGTGCAGTCATGATGTTTCATTTAACAATCACACTGCTTAGTGATAAAGTTGCATTTTTTAAGGCAGGACTATCTGTATCTAATAATTCTACAGTTTGGAATTGTGGCTTCTCTATTCTGTTCCTAAATTTTCTCTGATATTTAAGATTCTGGAGGTAAGGGTCATTGTGTTTCCTGCCCTGTTCCTTTTGCCCACCATGATCAGAATTTCCCAACTAACTTTCCTTTTTCTAAAGATTGATGACTAAAATTGATCTCTTAGTCAAGAAATGCAGAGTCACTTAGTAGCTGATCTAAACCTAAATACCATTTTATTTAAAAACAACAGAAAGAATAAAACTATAGAAAAATACTAAACAAGGAAGAATAAAATTTGGTGGATATTTGTGTTTTTTAAGGCCTAAAATATAGAAAAATCCAATTATAAGAAGCTAGAAATCTAAAATTCTAGTAATTATTCACAGCTTCTAAAACTGGAGTCAGTGGTATGTAATACTCCCAATAAATCCAGAGTAAATAATACTTTTTAAAAAAATTTGATTTATATGCCGCCCTTTTCCGGAGACTCAGGACAGCTTACAATGTGCTAAGCAATAGACTTCATCCTTTTGTATATTTATACAAAGTCAGTTTATTGCCCCCACAACTGGGTCCTCAATTTACCTACCTTAGAAAGGATGAAAGGATGAGTCAACCTTGAGCCTGGCGAGATTCGAACCTGCAGTAATTGCAGGCAGCTGGTCTTAATAACAGGGTGCTTTAGACCACTGTACTACCAAGGCTCCTACTCAAGTGATGTATCTCTTTCATCATCTCAAATCAAAGTTGTCATGTTGTCAAGTGAAATATTGACAAGGATTGAAAGAAGTACATGCAAAATTGTAAGTAATTATATTCTTTGAGCGAGTTGAAAATCAAAGCTTATAGGAAATATCTCATCTGTACAGCTTCACAAACTTGATTTATAACTTGCAATCAGAAGTATTTCTTGCATAAGAATAATTCTATCCCATTTTTTAACAAAAATATTGTCTAAGGAATGACAACTTTAACTCCAGATACAATCAGGCTGATAGGGCAAAAAGATTATAATCCAAAAACATGGCCCTTCTCCTCCCTACCTCTTTTTTCTGTCCTTTCTCTCATTTTCTTTTCTTTATACTCCTTAAAAAGAAATATGGATATTAAACAACTATTGAAAATTATACGGTTATCTATTACAAAGGAAATCAATTTATGTACAAAATATAGATTTATGCACATATAAATTTTCCATACATATTTCTAATCTAGAGAAGTAAATTCTGAGACCACAGTGCTGCAAGTAAACCTTGAACATCTTAGTTATCATTTTACAACTCTTCCAAAAGTTGCTACTTCATAAATTTTAATGTGAAAGAAGGGGTGGGGGGGAATTAAATATGTGGGGCTTGCCATATAAACTGCAATTAACTAATTTTAAATGCTTTTAACCATAGATAAATAAAATTTAGTTTTTGTCTAACAGTGCCCTTTTTTTTAAAAAAAAATATGGCCTTAGGTATTCTATTCAAAGGTAAAATATAGCCCATAGCTAGAGAAAGTTGGATAACCTTGATCTAGTTTAATATTACATGCTCTGAGAAGCAGGTCAAACCAGCACGCCAGGCATTAGTCTTTTTATTGCTCAAGATCATTTTAGAGGTCCTGAGATTGAACACTAACACTAACTATACATATAAGACATACGTTTTATCACTGCAGAATGCCATCTTGTCAAAACAGAAAATATTTCCAATCAGTTTTTACAAGTTTTTACATAAAATGATACAAATACTTTCAACCTTTCACATGCTATTAATAAAATTAACAGCAAAATTATATTTTTTAGAAAACCATATGCTAATAAAAACTGCACTGTACTTACAAATGGTTTCTAGATAGTCAGATAAGTAACCATAAGTTAGGCACACAGTGTCTTCCTGCCTAATTAACTCATAACAATTCCGCCCCCCTCTTCTGCTGCCCCTTATAGAATTTAGCACGTGATTAATCTATGTTTAAGGTTCAATATTTATAGGTATTGAGAAGAGAAAGAATGAAGTTTGTGTGAATGCTTGTCTGCTCAGAAGATATTTTTTTCCTATTTCAATATTTCTTAAGATTTAATTATAGCAATTCATAGCAGACCTTCTTTGGGTGAATAGTTAAGAATGGATATGGTCCTTTACACTTTAATGGTTCTATTTTTTTTTCCCTCTGAGCAATATACAACTAATTACATGATCCCCTCAATAAGCAACAGATTTGTCCTGAAGCAAAGAGAATGAAATAAAATTATTAACTAAATGCCATTTACATATAGTTTGAAGAGAAAAACAAGGAGTGAAAATTATGGATTGTTCTTAAAGAAGCGCCAAATTAGTCAAAATGAAAGAAATAAGCCAATATGCAAAATAAAATATATGTTGCCGAGGACAATTCCTCTGAAATTACCATTATGATGAGTTTCACCAAGAGGCTCAAGTTTTCGAATTCTGTTAACTTTTGGTGTTTCCCATCCAACTGCCAAAAAAAAAAAAAAAAAAAAAAAAACACCAGCAATTATATAACTAAATAATTCTGTTACAGCAAATATTCATCCATGCACATAGAGAAAATCTCAAGCTACTAATAAAACCAGAACTACTGGTTTACTACTGATGAGCATGGTAGACATATCGGGGTAGAAGTTAATTTGCATAGGATTAAGACTGATATTGAAAATTTATTCCTTGGATGCAGATAAAGGCATAACATTTAATAAACAAACAAACAAAGCAATATTCTATAAAGGTTTTACAACACTATTTTTCACAACCCCGATCCCCCCCCCCCAAAAAACAAAAAGACAAAAAAAAATTTTAGTTTCCAATAAAAGTAAAAGTTTTATTTTGTTGTGCTCTTTCTCTCTCTAATTCAATTGAAGAAGAAGGCATTATTCCTTTTTTATACAGCCAAGCTTTTTTTCACTTGCCACGTAAATTTCTGGGATGGAATATTTAACAGACCTTGGGAGCACAAGGGTACCACAGAACAAAGCAGAAAATAAACAGTGTCACTTCTAACAGATAAGAGTCCAGGAAATAGAGGAAAGCATGACAAAGAGACTCAGAGTAAAGCTGCCTTAACCATGTATGTTATGTGGGAGAATTATTTAGTAAGCTTTCAAGATTCTGTAATATTATTCTATTAGCAATAAATATGTTTCCATAAATTCACATGGTTCTTGTTTTATGAGTTTGTAAGTTTGTGAGCTGGAAAGATCTTTATTGTGACTTGGGTAATATAACAGAATCATGAACCATAAAAATAACTTTCCCACACAAGTTATACCTAGTATAATTACGGCAGAGTTACTCTAAATCTCTTTCTCATGCTTTTCTTTTCGCCTGGACTTTCTTCTACATTACCCTTACCTCTCCTTAGTTCTCTTGCTGCCTCCTTTATGTTCCCAAGATCATTTAACAGTGCCATATATTTAATCTACATATCTTTTCTTTTGAAATATTTCATGTGAGGTTGTGTTATTCATATGTTGAAGACCAGGGGTCTCCAACCTTGGCAACTTTACGACTTGTGGACTTCAACTCCCAGAATTCCTCAGCCAGCCTGCACTGGCTGAGGAATTCTGGAAGTTGAAGTCCACAGGTCATAAAGTTGCCAAGGTTGGAGACCCCTGTTCAAGAACTCAACTTTTAAATACTGATGCACATTGTACTCACCTGGTGTATGAGTTGCAATTGGAGTAGGAAGTGGGGAAACAATTTCTTCTGTATTGACTGGTTCAACTCGATGATTTCTTTTTAATTTTAGTTTCTTTGCTTTCTTTTTACTGTTTTCTAAATTAAATATAAATAAAACCACTGATGTTACATAAAGAATTTGAACTGCAATTAGAAAACATCTGTGCTTACATAGATAAAGACAGATTTTAATCAGAGCGTAACACAACTTTATTTGGTAATAAACACACGGTTCTTAATTATGTAGACATAATGTTCAGTTAAGATTATATATTCATGAAAGACTATAAGAATTTAAGTTTGTCACCTAATAAGAGAAATCTATCAATTGCTTGGCAGCTCATTAGTCCTTTGTAAAAAGGTTGCCTAGCAGCTATATTCTCCTTTCTCTCAAGTTCAAATGTTGAACTAAACTTTTGAAAAGTTAACTGGAATCATATGAGGTATTTTATCTTCTGCAAACCTCATTTACTTATTTACTAAGTTCAGTCTTTCTTGCTCAAGATTCTTGTAATCAAAAAATGTGAAAGGATACTAAATAATTTTCTGGTTTTTTTTTTCCAGAGTAAATGAAAAGGTAATTCATCAGTTCTTACTAAATTATTCTGAGAAATCAGAAGGAGCATATGCTAAGATCTAAGAGAAATTGGCTGGTAACACAGCATTTACAAATTCTTATCAGTCTACCTGTTCCTGGATTCAAAGTTGGATTATCACCAGAGTCAAGACTTTCTGAGATCTGCTGGTCATTCTCATCTTCGTGTTCCATTTGTTGTGTTAGTGCAGATTTATAGTTTTCTATCAGTCTCTGTTCGTTGGATTGTTCACTGTTCAGACTCTGAACATCTATTATCTCCTGATTTGTTTTAGGTTTCAAGGCAATAGCAATCTTTTCATTCTCTTCCCTTTGCCTCTTCTTCTCTTTTTCAATTTTCTTTTCATTCTAACAAAATACAGAAGAAAATGCCATTCATTATAGCAGCATTTCAAATGTTAGTTGGGGAGAAGTTAATGTCAACAACAAATCAGAGGATACTTTAAAAGAATGACTGAAATACATTTCATATATTAAATTTACAAAACTGTTTTTTATACATTATTATGGATTTACACCAGGCACTAAATCAAGTTTTTTTCTAACTGCCCTTTCAGATTCTTAAGATGCTTTGGTGTTTTCCACAATAACTTTGCAGATAGTGTAACAAACACACATACAAACACAAAAATCACAGCCAGCTTAAGATCTATATTTGTGTCTTTATACTAGCCTTTCCTACTGGATTACAAATCATCAATAATATAAAATAATCTTCAATTTCATATAATGGAACCTCTAATTAATATTCAGCTCTCCTAAGAAAACTGCTTATATAACTTTACATTTTAATTGCTTTGAATTTCAGGTATTTGAATTTTTACTGTGCAAATATTCTCCATAGCCCTAGTTCAGTTCTTTACATGAGCCTATGGATTTCTATGCAATTTTATTGACATATTGCTATGGATAATGGATTTAAAATATTAAGTAAAGCTTTTTTCCCATGTGGAGAATACTAAGCCTTAAATTACTTATACTGATTCTGATATCATGGCAGCTTTTTTTCATATTCTGAACTATTATTCCAAGAAATTAATTAAAAAGACACCGATTATAAAATTTGGTATCTTTTAAAATTGCTATCGTTTGACTGATTAAGTGATCAAGTTTGTATTGACTCTTCACAATCACATAAATAGATTTTCTCCAAGAGAACTGTCTCTAATCTGATCCTTCAGGTCTTTCAACCATGTTCTGCCCACACTACTGAAATTGAGTTCAACCACCTTACTGCTGACGGTCCCCTTCTCTTTCTTTTCACCATTTCCAGCATTATAGACATCTCCAGAGAAGTAGCTCATTTGCATGAAATGGCCAAAGTATTATACCCTGTTTTCCCCAAAATAAGACATCCCCTGATAATAAGCTCAATCGGGCTTTTGAGCGCATGGCAATAAGGCCAAGCGCTTATTTCAGGGTTCAAAAAAAATATAAGACAGGGTCTTATTTTCGAGGAAACACAGTAATTTGAGTCTGAACATTTTTGCTTTAAATGAGAAACTCTTCTATTCTATTATCCATTTGTTTGGTTTCATGGCTATCCATTACATTGTAAGAAATCGTTCCCAATATTAAAGTTGAAAAACAGCAATACTTTCTCTTCTGATTTTTTTCAAAGTCCAACTTTAACTTCCACACAATGGCACAAGGGGGAAAAAAAACCCCAATGCCTGTACCATTCTGATTGTTGTATTATAAGCAGATCCTGGCATCTAAATATATTTTCCAAGGCTTTCGAAGCTACTCTACCAAGTGTTAGTCTGTGGCATATTTCTTGACTATTGACTCCTTTACTGTTCATAGTTTAATTATTTTATGCTATGTATAGTTGTATTTTCAGCTATCAGAATAGTGCCATTAGATTGCATAGATTGATAGATTATTGATGTTTCTTCAGTCAGTTTTAAAAACACACTCATATTCGTCAAATCCAGTTTGCCTTAATATAAACTCTGCATATACACTGATTTATTAAAAGGGAAAAGCATACATGCTTTTCTCACTCCTTTGACAGCCTGGAACCAATCTGCTTTGCCATGTGGCTTTCTGACCCTTTCATAAATTTTACATCAAGAAAATAAAATGTTCTGGTGTTCCTATTTTTATAAACACATTCCACGGCTTGAAGTGATCAATACAATCAAAAGCCTTTATATAATCAATGAAAAATATATTTATGTGGGGGGCGGGGATTTTGGTGTTCTTTGGCTTTCTTAATTATCCAGCATGAATTAGCAATAATGACTTATTTCACTTAGGTTTTTTTTTTTTCTAAAGTCAACTTGAACATCTGGCATCCTTTCATAAATGAAAGAGTACCAAATTTAATGCAAATCTTTTCTGAATATTGATCCATTGATGCTATTTTATGATTTATTTATTTATTTTGCTTTATTGACTACTAATAATGTTTAGGAATCTGATTGCCATTATACGAGACAAATTGGCAAGAAAAGGAGTTCTGCTTTGTATTTCCTTATAAGCAGTTGGAGCTGTTGTTCATGTCAGCAAAGAATTAAGAGATCAAAGATATGAAGAGAGACATTGAAAGAAGAGGTCAGCAAAGAAATAGATATGTGCAGTAGGAAACATCAGCAATAGCAAGTAGAACCTAGAAAAAAAGATTTGGAGTGACCTTGTTGATAAAACAACTGGATGGCAGGGATGACGGAATCCTTATAGGAGAAACAGCTCAAGAACTGTAACAGAGTAGGAAAGCAAATAAGGTACCAAAATCCTAGGAGAACTTTGAAATATATATATATATATATATTTAAATATTTAAATATAGATAGATAGATAGATAGATAGATAGATAGATAGATAGATAGATAGATAGATAGATAGATAGAATCTCGGGTGTTTTCCCGCATCATTATAAATTTGTTAGTTAAAATGTTTAAAATCCTGGCTAAGATCCCAGCTCAGAATGTATTTTGCTTCCAGGAAAGAGATCCTTAGGAAAAGACAGAAATGGGTACACATATAGCAGGCAGCGGTTAATGTAAAATAAAAGTAATTTGATGAAATAAATTTTAAAAATTGGCCTTACCACTACAAAAATTAGTTAAGTATTTAATCCTTCCTCAATAGTGTCTGGGACCAAACACATCTGTTCATATCTAGTAGCAGCACAGAAACAAGAAACCACTGAAAATATGGAAGGCACTGAGAGTGGTGAGAATTTCCCTGTTATGAGAGAAATAAAGTTCTTGGGGGTGGGGAAGTATTTAAGTTAGGTCAAAGGATAGGACAGACATTGGACAAAAAAAGAGACAAGACAGACTAGAGCAGGAATAATCAGAAAGATGGATTCATTTGGGGAAACTGAAAGAAATAATAGTAGTATATAACTATGGCTATAACTACTCCAGGAATGGGAATAAGATCTTCTTCCTAATAAGATCTTCTTCCTCATCTCATAATAAAGGTATCAAAATATTAAAATCCCAGAATTAACAAAAGGAAAAATATAGACGAATTTTTAGAATACATGATAGAGAACAACATTTATAAAGCCCAAGCAGGAACTGGCAGCTGGGTTAAAATCCAGCTTTATAGGAAACGTCCAAAGAACTTACACAACTATAATAGACTAAAATAAAAGAAAAGTGACATTACACTGATACAATGTAACAAAACATGCATATTAGATATGCATATTCAGTATGCAGTGTTAGAATAGTTCTTACCAATCCTATCCAACCCAGATAAAAAATACCACCTAATGTTCAGAGAAGGCTGAACATTATTTGGCTACCTACAGAATTAAGGAAGCATAGAAAAAGTAGGTAGTTGTTGAAAAAAGGCTGTGGAAACAAGAAGCCAAAATAAAAGGAAGCGTAAAAACTTACAGAGAAAACAATTAGAGGAGGTCAGTATTAGAAAACACAACAGAAAGCCATTATTGAAATATAAAACAATTACACATCTGACAAAGTTTATGGCCTGAACCTGCATAAGAGAAGCTCAGAAAAGTTTAATGGCTCTTAATCTCTATGACCTATCAAAGGTAGAAGGAATAGTCCTAACATAGGACTGAAATAAATCCCTCTGGTCTTCTAGATTTAAGTAGCAACCTAACATAGCACAGCCTTATCTTACATGATGCATCCCCAGAACAGGAACACAAGTTCTCCTGTGTTTTGGAAAAATACAAATTACTTTGGTATAGTCAGATAAGAAGGATCTCAAAAGAAATTTTAATAGAGATTTATCAAAAATACTCTATTATATAGCAATGGGATCAAATTTTCCCAATACATCATAATTAGTTATCAATCAAGCAAAAGGGGCTGATAGAGAAGCAAACATAGTTATTAATAACAAAGGTAAGAGAAACAAGAAAAATAAAATAGAAAGTAAAGGAAAAATAAATAAATAACCAGATAACACAGAGAAAAGGAAAAAAGGGCCAAAAAAGGATTTGAATTTGTTTCAAAAATACAATACTGGCTAAAGCATTCATGAACAATGAACTGATTTGTTACAAATGTTTTCCATGGGTGATTGCTCCAATACCTTAGTGATTACAGTTGATATAGGCTGAAATGGGTTTCCAGTTACAAGCTCAGTGTCTTCTTCATCCAAAATGCTCCTTCCTTCTCGTTCATTTTCTTCTTTCTCTTTCTGTTCTCTGATGATTTTTTTAAAGAAAAAAAGATATTTTGAATCAACTAAAATTAAAAATTCTTAGAATATTACAAACTTTGAAAACAGTTCATATGCATTACATCAAAATGCAGTAAAGTGTTATTGATGAACTTGTAAAAGATGGATATGAAGTTGAAAGAACTGACCTAAAGTCAATCAATGTGAAACCTTGTTTACAATTCTTCTATTAGAATAACCTACCTTTCATTAATTTACTGAAATACTGTATATATTCTGTCTGCCCTTAAAGCAAAGGGTTAAAATCAAAACTGAATTCAACCAAAAAAAATTGTTATAAGCCAAATAGATTTCCTATACCAAGATAATAAAAGTATGCATTATTTGCCTGATTAAGTTTGACTTGAATTTGTATACTTTTAAATTTTATTATATGAATTTCTGTATAACTGAAAAGATAGAAATACCAAGGAATTATCAATTCTACATATTTGGTAAATGTAAAATAAATAATTAAATGATTACAGGTTTTAAAATGTTGAAGTTAGTGAGTGTTCTTTTCAGGAATAAGGTATATTTCCACCATAATTTGGTATGCTGGCTAAAAGCATATCTCACTATTTTTCTAGTTAGCTAAAAGAAAACTTAAAATATAATGAAGAGTCACTAAGAAATCCCTATCAGATTCCATTTATCTGAATGATAAAAGTGGTCCAATTTTGCATTCTGAGATTTTAAGCCATTTTATCTGTTGGTTGTTTGGTTAGAACTGAAAACCATTGTTATGATTCATGTCCTACTTACTCCTCTGTTATGGAATATGCGTCTTCTCACATACTGCCAATTCTGACGACATTTGGTTCTCTTACCACCATTCTAGCAATGGGCAGATTTGTTATACTTAGTTTTGGTCTGCAGCTGGAAGATTTGAACACTTCTGTGCTTTTATCAGCCTCTATGTATGCTAGCTGTCAGAGGGCTGCTGATGGTGCTGACTGTTCTCAGGTCTGTCTGCCATTGCTATTATCATAGAGTGTCTGTGAGAGGTCAAGATCACCACAGTTGCCTATGTTTGTTAGATGTTCCTTAGAGAGAAACTGCTAAGGTATCCCTAGCTTGGCCTGGTCCATATCAGCCCGACTCTAATGTCATTCATTCTGTCTTTTAAAGATCAACCTGTTTTGGCATAATAAGTAGCTGATGTCAGATGCTAGAGTCATCTACATAATTTCATACTTCTTTTGCAGTCTTTTCAATTATATATCCCCATTTTTATGTTTTTTTATTTTATTGGTTATTCTTGGCTTTTAAGATGGAGCATAAAGAAAATCACTACTTCCTTATAAAAGGCAAAGCTAAAGAGTGGGTGGGTGGGGGAGCAGAATTCCACTCACTGGCCAGAAAGAAGTATTAAGTTTTCCTCCTTACTAGAAGTGGCAGACCTAGTTTTTTTTAAAATTCCATATTCAGTGAACAAGTTAATACATGTATTAAATTGTTAAAAACAAACACTTGTAACTGTTTCCATCAGACGTTGAATGTATGGATGATAAGTTGCTTTCTTTTTTGGCTATAATTCAAATATAATATCAAATTATGACAAATTCTGCATCTGGGACTCTGTCAGAATCTGAGACATATTGCCCAGAGTTAGCATAAAATGGGAAAATACTAATAAAGATTAACTATTAGTATACAACATAAGAAAGAGCCTTGATAGTACAGTGGTTTAGTGCACCCTGTTATTAACACAGCTGCCTGCAATTTCTGCTGGTTCGAATCTCTCCAAGGCTCAAGGTTGACTCAGCCTTCCATCCTTTCTAAGGTAGGTGAAATGAGGACCCAGTTTGTGGGGGCAATAAGCTGACTTTGTATAAAATATACAAAAGAATGAAGGCTATTGCTTAACGCATTGTAAGCCGCCCTGAGTCTCCGGAGAAGGGCGGCATATAAATCAAATTAAAAAAAAAACTACAATAGCTATACTATAGGGGAAAATGCATTTTTCTGTTCCACCAGTCTGAAGTATTACCCACTTTTGCAAATCTTTCAGAGCATCTAAATGAATTTTCCCCAACCAGGCATCCACCAGGTATAGTGATAAAGCCCATAATTTCTAGCCAAGGACAAAACTGTCTTAGAATTCAATAAATATGATGAGCACCAGTAGGATTCTGGACCTTATTGCTTGTCTTGAATAAATAATGGTCAGACTGGAAATGTCATTCTTAGGTGATCACTATTAACACCTTTGACAATGTCATATCATGTGTCATGTCTGATATGAAAACACAGTTACTGAGTGTATTACATGTTAGATCTACATATTCTGGTCTTTGCTGTACAGTACCTTGAAATCCAATCTGTAATGTACTATAAAATGTTTCACAAAGATGACTTACTCTACCTACCTTTCTTTCCTTATCTTCTTCACTCTTTCTGCTCGGTCTCGTTTCTCTTGCTCTTCAATGGCTTTTTGCTCTGTGATGTCTTTCTGAATTCTTTCATATAAGACATCAAAATCTTTTGCTATAGTGTGTAACAGCCAAAGTAAACCTTTCTTTATCGATTTGTCAATTTTTCTTCCATAGCCCACAATAGCAGAACAAGGCTCCTATAACCAACGGAAAAATCAGCACTATCTCATATTGTTACAGCAATATGTAATTGAAGAATGTTATGGACTCACTAACAATTTCTGAAAATGATTGTGCAGCACACTTGTCAATAATAACTTGTTCATATTTTGATCCATCCAATTATTCCATCTCACCTCTTATGACACAGCTTTCCAGAGGGATATAGATTCAGATTTGCCTATATGCTCTGAAAATTACTTTTCAAAAACTGTTGCTGCTCCCAATAAATTCCCACAAGAATTTCTTATCTTCAAATTCTAACTTTTTAAGACTAGAATGATTAAATCAAAATTTTATTTTCCAAGAATGAAACTAATATTCTGCCACAAAACATTACACTCTGCAGTAGTCCATCTCTGAAACCTTTGTTACTTTGTTCTATTTCATTTCTACAATGATTTAAAATCTTCCTTTTGGTTATTTCATTCTATTCCTTCTTGGGCTACTTCTGCAGATATTTAGCATCCTGTATCCATTGAACTAGCTAGAGCAGTGATGGCGAACCTTTTTTTCCTTGGGTGCCGAAAGTGCGTGTATGTGCATGACAGCGCACATGCATGCCCACACTCATAATGCAACGCCCCCAACAGGCCCTGCCCCCGCACATGCAACCCCTTGTGCGCCCCCCATGCATGTGCACATGACCCCCATTTTTGTAGTAGCAGGCCTCCCTGAAGCCTCCTGGGACCAAAAATGGAGCGAGGGAGGGCGCCACCCCCCATCCCCACCCATGCATGCACAACCCCTATCCCCCCACACATCCCAAAAATCAGCTGGCAAGACCCGAAAATCAGCTGGCTGGGGGAAGTGCGCAGTGGAGCTGACCTGGGTGTCGGCTCGTGTGCTCGCAGAGATGGCTCCCTGTGCTACAGGTGGCACGCGTGCCATAGGTTCGCCATCACGGAGCTAGAGTATCTACTTTTTATCTCCATAAGTCTCCCTATCCCTTCATCCATCTCTCTCTCCCACTCCAGAGAGAGAGAGAGAGAGAGAGAGAGAGAGAGAGAGAGAGAGAGAGAAGAGGGAAGAGAGATAGATGATAGATAGATAGATTTGTAGCTATACCAGTAGATATAAAAGCTTTGTCTATTGTATTTCATTACTGCCAGATTCAACAAAAGTGCATCATTGGTACTTTACAATAATAAAAACAGAGAATGTATTAAGTGTATTCTTGTGCATTCTGATTATTCCTTGGTTTTTAGCAGCATTCTTTCTGCCACCATAACTCACTTAGTTTTAATATTAATCTAACTGAATAAAACGTATATTTAGAACTGAAATGAATATTTTAAATTGCATAAATAAACTGAAACAAGAACAAACTACAATATCATTTATTAAACCGGATGTATCTGCAAATCCCAATTCTGTAGTAAAACAAATTTTGAAAATAACCACAATCTGTAATTTATTTGTTAATTATTCATTCATTCATTCAAATATTAGCTATTTCAACTGTTGAAGCAGCTCAAGTTAATACTTCAATTTACATACTGCTCTATTTTCAGAAAGCCTACTCCATTTTCAGAAACTCCTGCATAAAATTATTAAAGTAATATTAACAACGAAACAATTAATATAACTGTACTCTATCAATCCCATATACCACTATTGACAGAATAGTATAATTGACATCTGCATCTTTCAAGAATACCATATGAAAAAAAGAGCAACCAATCATAGGTTCAAGGGATATTTGGGAGGGCTTGCATTGTTAAAATTCAGTTGTGCCTGGCAGCCCTACGCCTATAATTTCAACACAAGTGAAATGATATTCGATGCTTATAGAAAACATTCATATGGGGAAGGAACATTTGTATGGAAAATGTTGGCATGCCAGTAAAGAACAATCTTCCTTCCCCTGTCAATGTATGAGTTTTCATTGTACAGGTAGTCCTCGACTTACAACAGTTCATTTAGTGGCTGAAGTTACAATGGCACTGAAAAAAGTGAGTTATGACCATTTTTCATACCTACGACCGTTGCAGCATCCCCATGGTCATGTGATCAAAATTCAGATGCTTGACAACAGGTTCATATTTATGATGGTTGCATTATCCCGGGGTCATGTGATCACCTTTTGTGGCCTTCTGACAAGCAAAGTCAATGGGAAAACCAAATTCACTTAACAACGTTAGTAATTTAAGAACTGTAGTGATTCACTTGATAAATGTGACAAGAAAAATCGTAAAATGGGCCAAAACCCACTTAACAAATTTCTCACTTAGAACATAAATATTGTGCTCAATTGTGCTCGTAAATCGAGGACTACCTGTATTAGTGAATTGTGGAAAATATAACTGTTAACCAAAACCTGGTAGCTCCTGGTGACTATATGGATATTTCCATGCAATTTTTGATAACTTATAGGAAGTTGTGGTTCCATAACAGACCAGACAATTTTAAAAAGACTGAACTGATTAGCCTTCTCAGTTTAGGAACCAACAATACAAATAGTAGTACCTTAATATTATGCTTCATCAGGAAATTAAATGCTTTCAAAAAAAATAAACTGATATTACAGAGACTGATATTCCATTAAGCACTTTTCTGAGAAATGACAACCTGAAATTTGCTTATCATCCAGGTAATAAGCAACAAAATCATCTTTCTCACGGCCATCACTAATCAGACATAAAGAGACATATGATATAGAGAAAAATAAAGTGATAGAATTGCATAATTTTATTTCAAAATTCTGCCAAGCAACATGTCTAAGGAAATTAATCTTATTTAAAATGCACTTACAATCTGACAGAGGCATTTGTGCTCATTGACAAGCTTTTCAAGAGATAAATATTCAATCACATCTGCTTCTGCCAAGGCACCTTCTTTGTCTTGTTTATTTGCTAATCTAAGAGGAAAAAAGATCAAATAAAAATATGGTAATGCTACCTCCCATGGTTAAAAGTCAATGCAAATCAATATGGATAAGCAGAATCTATTCTAATAATAGGAAAGACACAAAACATTGTTCTATAGCCAAACATAAATATTGCTGTTGCCTATTTATTAACCATTTCTTCTCAGTGGAATAAATACAAATGTTTAATTTATTTTCTCATTACTCTTAAAATGTTAGAAAGCCTATATCTTGATCGAACACATCCTGGGTGAACTGAACTTAAATAATTTTTGGTAGAAGGCAGTTAAAGCTTTATTTTCCTATTATACTTTCTACAACCTACACCTCCTGAAAATGCTGCCCTTTTTAGAATGATCCTCTGAAAAGCAAATATATTTGAAAATCTTTTATGTGAAAATGCCTAAGTCTGACTCTGATGATCATACGATGATAATAGGATTACAATGTTATGTTGTAAGAAAGCAACCTTATGAGAGGTTTATGGGAGAAAGTTTATGGGAGAAAGTTTCACTGGGTTCACTTCACTTCAAAATAAATAGCCTTAGGATTGTGGTAGAAGTTTAGATATTTTGATATCAAAAGTTAAATTCAAAAGAAAAACCATAAATGATTGTTCTTGCAAGTTTGAAACTTCCAAACTGTTCTTAGAAGCAGCTGTAAAGTTTACTTGTAATGGATGGACTTTTCCAGGTTTGTGATCTACCTGTTTGATATGGTTCCAAGCTGCCCTTATTTATACTCAGGTTGGTAACTCAATGGAGGAGATATGTTTGAAAAAACATGTGATTTAAAATATAGAAAAGCATACACACAATGTAGTTGATAAAATCGATCTTCCTCTTTTTGTTCTTCCAAAGAAAAATATCAATTTTCATTAGTCACAGCAAAGTTATTAAAAAGTTCAGAAAAGTATTTTCATTTCTTAGAGATGAACTACAAACCAGCATATTTAGGCAAACATTCTTCCCACTTGTAGGTTGAAAATGTCTAGATAAATAGTACTGACAAGAACTGTATTAAAACCTTTGATTTGGAACCAAGAGCATGCTTAGTAAAAAGAAAGTGCTCTCCTTGTACTTCATTTATTTTGTTAAGTTTCTCTAAAATAGCCTTTCTCAACTCAGTGCTTTTCCAAATACGTTGGACCACAAATGGAGAATACCATGATGTAGAATAGTACCAAGAAGCATAAGAAAAGTGAAATTATACTTAGAGATACATAAACAACAGAAGAGAAGCAGCTTTCTGTAAATTTTTCCCTAAACATAAGTTTGCAAATTTACTTATTTTGGCACCGGGCATCTGTTATACCAGAATCATACAAGGGAACTAAGTAGAGTATGCACTGTTCTTCCCCCAGCTGATCTGTATAATTACTCTATGAAGTGTAATGGACTGAGAGTACAAGTTCAGATTATTCAGAAAGTGTAATGTCAAAGAGGTAGAGAGAGAGAAGTAGAGAGAGAGGGAGGGAGGGAGGGAGGAGAAAGAGAGAGAGAGGAACAAAATAGATTTGTCCACTTTATTACAATCCACTATCTTCAATGGTTTTCGCAATTGTTTATTTCCTCATTAATTTTAATAATGGTTCAATAATGGAATTTATATATGGAGTTCAACACCATATAAGAATTGCTCTTCCCCTCCACTACCACTTTATATATTGGATGAATGAATAAAATGATTTCAGTTGTCATGTATTGGTTCAGCTATATAATCATAATTTGAAAATACAAACAGCTAGCAAAATGGGTAAAACTTAGTTTGCAAATAGACCAAGTCCATAATTCTCTTCAATTCTCAGCAATAATTTCAAAGAAGTTTTTCTCTGTTAACAATATATTCCTTTCATTTTAAAAAACCCTTTTTTATTGCTTATGCTTTGATAGTTTATATCAAAATTGCAAAAGAATAAAAATACAAAGCTAAACAGAAGTTAACAACTACTAATAAAACATTACTAAAACATAAGCAAACTTTTGGTAATACATTCTTCCCTTCCTCAATGTTTTCCTAGTTTTCATTATAAGTATTTGATGTTCAGGGACTTCATTTTTAGGAAAGCACTAGTATTAAGCAACAGGTATTTTCACTGTAAGCTGGAAATTACAGTAAGGAGAGTGTTACACAAAACACTTCCTGGTATTGGCTCATTAGAATAAAATGGCCCGCCTTGGAAGAAAGGTTGTACAGTATCTCTAACAGGCAGAACCAGATTCTCTAGGAGTAAAGTAACTAATTTGCTTTTCTACTACAGGGCAATATAACCGACTAAGACTCTCTCGATCCATGGTTTTTCAAGGCACACTTCCTAAGTAATTAAGTTCTAGAGAGATTAAGCAAGCAGAAACTTTTAAAACGGGAATCACATTCCAGATCTATTAAGTATGCACACATGGATAATCCAAGTGTCCTATCCTTAAGTACAGAACGATACTGAAAAACAGGATTTTTAAAAGGAAGAAGGTAAGTGTATTCTGTTTATCATATGCCAAATAATCTTAATTAAAAATATGTAATATTTAATGTGTGTAAAATAGTGTTTGTCCTCTGCTAAGTATGAGTTTATTTCTGTTGTACATGTTTGAAGAAATATATCGCTTTAATACAGAAATGCTAATTTGTTAAAAAGTATTTAATGCATTAAATGTAATTTCTTTTGAAAGCATGTCAGGAAATACATTCTTCCTTCGCACAAATTCCTTTTTTAAAATGGAGTTACTAAAAAATAAAGGTAGAATAGAGTTTGTGGCCTAGACAATGGATTGATTGACACTCTTATAGACCACAGAAAGATCTTGTTGTGAGGTTAACAACATCACACACAACGCTAAGTGAACAATTGTGTGTGTCTGTGTGTGTAAATAAATCACATTTTGATTTGGGAATAATAATATGTTTATTACACATGTTTGAAAATGAATTAAAGAAACAGAAAAAATCCTGGACAATGTCTAAATAGGCAGTTGAGGAACTTCAACATTTTTATTTCAGGAATCATGAAAAGGGGAGTGTATGTGTACATTTGCTAACAATGACATCATCTGCTATGCATGAAAATACTGAATATAGAAACTCAGCAGTTCGGTTCAGCTATAACAAAGGATTCTAAGAGTGTTAACATGCAAATTTACTTTAGGATCTCCATAATTCTGAATTATGTATATTATCTGAACAAAATTTATTAAAGAAGTAATATTACTTCGTCTGTTAAGATATATTTTCATCAGCATGCTGCTAGCTAAATATAGTGCAATGTATTATTATTCCTCCTATACCAATGTAAAAACTATTTTGAAATTGGTTGTGAATTATTTTGGTATTTGATTCATCTAAGGCAGCACAAAGAGATTTATAACAAGTTTATTGTTGCACTTTGATTTTTGTGTTAATATGCGTGAGTTTAAAACTTTTGATTTTAGAAAGTTCCTTTAGATTGAGTTGTGAATCCCATCAAGCCTGCCAAAGAACCTTGGTATATTATTTAAGAAATATACTATATACTATACTATACTATACTATACTATACTATACTAAAGTACTCACTCTTATTTAGATAAGTCATATTTGACCCAGTTTGATGTAATGGTTGAGGGTGCTAGCCTAAAAACCAGAAGACTTTGAGTTCTAGTTCTGTCTTATGCATGAAAGCCAGCTAGGTGACCTTGGACCAGTCACTTTTTCTCTGCCCAACCCACCTCACAGGGCTATTGCTGTTGAGAAAATAGGGCAAGGAAAGAATATTATATAAGTTCCCCACCATGAGATATTTATAAAAATAATAAAGGCAGGATAAAAATAAATTATAGTTACAAATGATCTCTCTTTGGCTTTGCCATCAATATGTGTAAATATGTGTAAATAGTTAAAATAGCAGGGAAGGGAGAATCCATACAATAAATTTAGCCTGAAGAATTTACAATTATTGCTCTAACATTCGCATAATAGTATTTCCCCAATAGTATTTATCACAAGAAATGGCAGGAAACAAGTTGTTTCTAATGTCATATTCTGCTTTTGTTTTCTTTTTCTTTCATTGAAGAGTAGGTGAATGGGGATGCTGTAAATAATTTTAGATTTCCCTAGAATGTCATTTGGAAAAAATCATTTTGCATAAACACTGCAATCAACACAGTTTAACATTTTTTGGAGTACTTTCAACCAGAAATTACCTCTCTTTGCTTCTGAAATGCTCAGTAAGATTCTCATCATTAATGGTTTACTCAATTGCTGAGGTCTCTGAGGCAGTGCTATCCAAGATATTGTAATGTTAATTATGTACAGGAAGTCCTCGACTTACAACAGTTAATTTAGTGACCCTTCAGTTACACTGGCACTGAAAAAAAGGGACTTACAACTGTTTTTCACCCCTACGCCTGTGGCAACATCTCCACGGTCATGTGATCAAAACTCATGCTTGGCAACTGGTTCATATTTATGACACTTGCATTTATGACACTTGTGGTGTCCCAGGTTCATGTAATCACCTTTTGCGACCTTCTGACAAGCAAAGTCAACAGGAACGCTGGATTACTAGCTTAACAACTGCAATGATTCACTTAGCAACCGTGTGGCAAGAAAGGCATAAAATGGGTCAAAACTCACTTAACAAAATAGCAAAATAAAATTGGGCTCAATTGTAAGTTGAGGATTACCTGTAATGGAGAAAGATTGCATTTGCCTTTTGAATTTACAGCATAAAGTCATCAAGAACAGCAGACAAAATATTTATAGAGAAACGACCCCTCCAACCCTGGTAATGGGAATTCAGATAGTACTTTTAATATTGCTCAAAAAATATCACATTACAATTTTACTTCTTGAAGGACTCTTACTTTCTTACTCCCAGTAGCATTAATATACATAGGTCACAGATCTATGTGATACAGTAGTGATGCAGTACTCAAAACTCAGGTTTGTTGTTGCAGATTGATCTAGATTGTTCTAGTTTCATTACAAGCCATTGTATACAATAACTCCACCCCATTTCTTAACCATGCTGTCTTTCTCTGGGAGTGTTAACTTAATTATCTCCACCTTGTATCATTAGGACCATACATAGTATTTGCAATAAACATCAACAAGGACTTTCCAAATTAAAAGTTTTGGAAAGAATAATATTTGAGCTAACTCAGGCAGAACATCCTTGTATATATTTTTTTTCTTTTAGAGTACATAACATAAGGACAACGAGGTACTTAGGTACAACAAGATACTCCAAAGCTTCAGCTCTGGACATCACAGTCCCTCTAGAAGTTGCTGCAAAATTGTATTGATATTTTTTACATGAAAAGCAGATTAAATTATAAATAAATTCTAATTTAATGTGACAGTAAACAAAAATGATGGGTGTGTTTTAAATTAAATTTAGTGTGTCCCACCCTCCACCTACATTTTTTCTTCTTACTGTTTTGGTATTCAGACCCCACTATGTCTTTCAAAACCCAAGGTAATGTTTGATCCAAATTATTTATACATTTCTGATCTACCATATATACTGCTTAGATACAATGACTGTATAAGAAAAAAGAAAAATATGGCAGTATTATTCCAGAAAGCACTTTTTAGAGTTATCACACACCCAGAAAAACTATTCAAGGACTTATAGACCATTTTTTAATGGCAACCCCCACCCCAAAAAAGCAAAGAAGCAATTATAATTTGCCCTTCCATTACAAAGCAATATACTATAGAGTTAAACATAAATAGTACCTTTAAAATAAGTAAGAGTACTTACTTTCTTGCTAGCATGAAATAGCACAGGAAAAAAAAGATTTTTTAAAAAAATGGGAGCTTGAAGGGTACTTAGGATATTGATGGCATATTTTTTAAAAAATTTGATTTATATGCCGCCCTTCTCTGAAGACTCAGGGCGGCTTACAATGCATTAAGCAATAGCCTTCCTACTTTTGTATATTTTTTACAAAGTCACTTTATTGCCCCCACAATCTGGGTCCTCATTTTACCTACCTTGGAAAGGATGGAAGGCTGAGTCAACCTTGAGCCTGGTGAGATTTGAACTTGCAGTAATTGACGCAGCTGATGTTAATAACAATGCTTTAGTCTGCTATGCTACCAGGGCTCTTGGTTTTGGTCTATTCTTTTTTGCCATCGTACTCCAAAAAACTGTTGATTCCTTACATTAATGCTAAAGTTTGGTGTGTGTGTGTATGTGTGTGTGTAAAGTTATAAAGGTAGTCCTCATTTAGTTATCTTGGACAGGGACCATTTGCAGTTACAATAGTAATGAAAAAGTAACTTTGTAATCAATATTAATATTTACAATCTTCATAGCATCTCTTGCTCTCCCCCCTGTGTGTGTATGTGTGTGTGTGTTCACCACTACGTTTTTAGTACCTTTTGCCATGTTTTTTCCTCCTCCCCCCACTCCCAGAGTAGAGATATTGCTTTAAAAAAGCCATCTCTTGCTGAGCTGCTTTTCTTCAGAGCATGCCCCTAAAAGTGCTAACTGCAAGGTAAAAAGCTCAAATGAGTTGATTAGAACCTGCTGCAGGCTGGCGGCTGCTGCCTGAAATTGACAAGACCTTAATCAGTTACACGCTGAAGGCTTCTGTTTGCCTCACAACTGCAATAGGAAAACAGCTGGTGTTAGCTCTCTTTACAATGTATATCTGCTTACTTCCTTCGTCTCCAATGAATGTAAGTACAAACATCAATTCTCTTCTTGCTAACTATCCCAGCACTAGGGGAACATACCAAAGGGTGGAGAAGTGGGGGAAAAAAGAGCTACAATATTTGCACTTTTATCTGGCTTCCTCAAGAGTTTTGGAACCCTTCCCCACTGTTTGGATTCCCCCAGATTTTTGGAGTCATATATTTCTGACTCTGTAAAGCAAAACAAACTGAAATAAAACTGTAAAAGCACAGTTGCAATCAGATTATTTTTACTTAGAAACCATTTCTCTTAATGACTGAGTTGCTGATCACAACTGTGGTTGTTAAACAAGGACGAGCAGTAAGAAGTTACATTGGATTTGTACTGCTGGATCTCTGGACACCCAGAGACACTTTGCTCTAATAGTACTCTCTCCATGGCACTCTTCCACTGGTAACCTCAAACTAGTGCTAAGCATCTTTTACGTTTGCCCTTTGACAGTGAAGTGTCATTTGAGATATCAACTGACTTTCATTGGGAAAGACAGAGATTTCTGGGAAATGCTTCCTACCACATTCTAGGGAAGCAATATTATCTATTGTGGTGGAAATGGAAGCAGTCCTGCAGATATTTAAACAGTTTAAATAGTGATGTTTAAGTATGTGATCATCATGAGTCTTTCTAGTATTAATACTTCCAGGACTAATTAATTTTTGCAGGAATCGCTTTACTCCTTCAGTAAGGAAATCTGTCCTTTCTTTCTATCCAAAAAAGTTCCAGTATTGCAATCTGCACAATGGAATCAACTATTTATTTTGATAATTGGGAAGCTAAGTTTTTGAAAGTTTGGGAGTACTGATTGCATTTTTTTCTCCCTTTAGTGGAAAGGAGAACAAACAGATATGAATAGATAGATGTGTGACTTCTTCAATTTGCAGTGGGCCTCTATGGCTACCATCATCTAAATCAGGGGTGTCAACTCAAGGCCCGGGGGCCAGATCTGGCCCACGGGGCTGCCCTGGAAACAGTGAAGGTCTGGCCCGCGGTGCCTCTGCCAGTGAAAATGAAGCTGGCAAGGACCATGGGCAGCCCTCCTGAGTTCCGTTTTTTGCTGGCAGAGGGTTGCAGAAAGCCGTCGCAGGCGGAAATGGAATTGGAGAGCCCGTTTTTGCTGGCAGAGCACTTGGGCCGCCACAGGCACCCCGAACATGAGTGATGTAAGAATTGAAAATAAAAAGAAAAGAATGGTGAAAGGATGAAATCAAAAAAGGACTTGATGGCAATGTGGCTACGATACTCATAATGAGCTCCTCCTAAAACCTTTTATTTTATCTGCATTTTAATTAACTTATTTTTAAATTATTTGATTTTTCTTAATGATCATAACTTACTTAAAATAATATACTACTGGAGCTTATTTTATATAAAGTACACTTGCAATTATGGAGGAAAGGAAGAAGTGACAGAGATGAAAATAAGGGCATATGGATATGAAAGGTTTTTGCAGAGCCTTTGTACTGGAGCAACACAGGGCTAGATCAAGGCACAACCAATTTCTCTTTCAGGAAAGAAGTTAAAGTACTTATTTCTAGAATGTATGGAAGAGCTTTTCAGGTCTTTGTATTAAAAACGAGAAAGGTGCTATGAACATAAGCATAGCATCTGTTTCCAATAACCAACTGACCTAGAACAGCAGACAAAAACTTGATTCCAATAACAAATACATCCACTTTAAAAAGCTGTACATAAGTACAATATTTGCAACTCACCCATTCTGAAAAACTCTATAGACCTCATACACGTGTATTAAAATACTAGTTTATATGCTGATCATTTTAATTTGCCAAAAATGTATAAAATGCAGGAAAGAAGTAACATATCAGTATTAAGATGTGAAAAATAGTGTGTATTTCAGTTTCCATATAGCTTTCGAAACAGCTTTCTAAAATGGATACAGAGAGTCTACAGGAAGTTGTTTGCTACACTATGTGGCAAATTTCTGCAACTTTTTCTTTATAACATTTTCTGCTATGGTCTAATACGATTGTGGATTAATAAATGCTAATGAAAGTGATTTTAATTCTTAGGTATACACTGCTGCCTTGGGTTTAATACTTCTGAACCTTAATATATTCAACAGAAGATGAAAGACCGCCTTCAAGAGCTTAAACTGAGAGCAAAGGAACTACAATTATTTGAAGAGAACAATCGTGTTGTTAATGCTATTAGAGAGGAACAAGGAGAATTTGAACAAGCAGCTGTTATTTTTGAAAAGGAACCCATAACTGAAAGGTACTTGCATGAAATACAACAACTTCATAATGATATTAATCATTTGGCAACGGATGTTCAAAAGTTTAGTCGGCAGCAGAAAAGTTTGATGGCTTCCATGAGAAGATTCAGTGTGCTTAAAAAAGAAAGCAGCAATACAAAAGCAATTAAAGCTCAAGCAGAGCATATTAATAAGGGCTTGGATGATCTTTCAAAAATAGTGAAGAGAGAAGAAAAAGAACATAGCTCATCACCTGCCCTTAGAAGGGTCCTCAGTTCTCAGCGTGCAGTCCTCTTCCATCGTTTTCAAAATATAATGATTATGTACAATAATGCCATAACAACCAAACAAGAAAAATGTAAGGATTTCATTATGCGTCAGTTGGAAGTGGCAGGAAAAGAAGTATCAGAGGAAGAACTAAATAATATGGTTGAACAAGGGAAATGGGAAATCTTCAATGAAAATCTGCTTACAGAGGTCAAGATTACTAAAGGCCAGTTATCTGAGATTGAACAAAGACACCGAGAACTAGTCAGTCTGGAAAATCAAGTGAAAGACTTAAAAGGCCTTTTTTTTCAAATCTCACTTTTGGTAGATGAACAAGGTGAAATGATCAACAGCATTGAAATGGAAATCATTAATACTCAGGATTATGTCCAAATGTCAAGAGAAAAGTTCAGGCTAGCAGCTAAGTATCGAAAAAAGAATCCATGCAAAGCACTGTGCTGTTGGTGCTGCTCTTGTTGCAAATGATTTGTCTTCTGGGCAATTAAAACTGAAGAGCTGATCCATAAAATACTGAATAGGACTAAACATATCACAGAGAAAGTGGATTTGCTGTACTACTAAGAATATATACATTTTTTTTCACATGATATTTGCTTTCCTTAGTTACATGTCTCTAATGCAGAATGTGCTGAAGAATTTCAGAAGAAATCACTACACCTTGAAAATAAGAAAAGGGATCAAATGCAAGGATCTTGCCAATGTTCGCCATGGACCATTATACCTTGGTAGCTGAGTAATTCCTTGTTACACTGTGAAGAGGGGAATAGTCTTGTCCTTTCCACATGCTGCTTTAAAAACATGAATGTGACACAAAGGAGTATTATTATCAATTCATTATGATGTTACAGGTACCAGTGAAGCATCTGTTTGAGACACGACTGTACTGTCATATTTAATTTTAGCCAAGTTCCCTGGAATTAAATGCATCTTCCTAGCAATTTTGTTTAACTAGTTTGGATAAAGAAAAACTGCAAACCTACTGTAACATAAGTTACGGTGTACAGGAAGTCTTCAGCTTACATCCATTTGTTCAGCAACTGTTCAAATTTATGTCCTCCAGCCTCCAGCCATCTCAGTACCCCTGAGGTCATGTGTTTACAATCCAAGCAGGCACTTGGATGTCCGGCTTATGATTATATGTCATGTGATCACATTTGTGAGCTTCCTTGCTGGTTTCCCACAAGCAATATCAATGGGAAAGCTGGCAGAGAAGATTGCAAGTCGCTCCAGTAAGATCCCCCAGTTCACCTGCATCTATGCGGCACGTTCTAAGATTTTCCTGCAGTCATAAAGGGCTACATCCTGTGACTGCGTCACTTAGAGATGGCAATTTCAGTTGAAATCATAACCCCAAGACATGCAGTCATTAAACAGGAAGTGGTGGGAATCCCAAGGGGGGAAGTCAGGAGAGAGCTTGGGAGACCCAATGCAGGAGTGCTATGAGAGGCTGGGGGAAGCTGAAGATGTCTTGAGGGTTCCAGCATAAGCTGAGCATGAATTGAGGGAGGCACAGTGGGGGTTCAGTGCAAGCTACATATGAGTTAGGACAGGGCTTAGGAAACCCAGTGTAGGCTACAAATGAGCTGGAGGATGAGGGGGTAATGGCAAAGGCTGCACATGTGTAGGGCGGCTTACCCAAGTGACTTGCTATCTTCCCTGCTGCATTCCCAATGGATTTTGCTTGTCAGAACCTGCATGAAATATCATAAATGGCAATCACACGACTATAGATCCCTGTGACATCATAATTGTGAGCCTGGTTCCTTAGCACCTAATGGCGATCATGAGACTGTAATGGTGCTGTAATGGCTATGGTAAAAAGCATTGTAGACTTCCCTGTCTATGTATGCCATACCCTTAAAAAAAAAAAAAACTGGCACTGCATGCAAAGGTTTAAAAAAATATAAATAATAAGATTAATCTCTCTCTGTCTTTATGTATGCAATAGATTTCAGCAAACTCAGGATTCTTTTACTTTTAAAAATCCTTCCTCACAGTTTTTCCATTATGGAAAGTCTCCAAATATTTGAAATATATTTTATTATGGTAATATTGAAAAAGACCTCTTTTAAGAAATAATCATTTTGTATTAATGATATTATACTCCTTGAGTACCAGCTATTCATTGTAAAAATTAAGCACAACTGTGGAGCACAAACCAAAGCCTTGTATGAATGGTCATGTCATTATAAAATTATTTTATTCAGTTTGGAAAATATACTCTGTCTCTAAGTAAATCACAACAGAATAATCTGGGCAAGCATACAAATATCCCCCAAAAAACCAGTAAGTGTGTTAACAGTATGTACTAAAAAGGAAGAGGAGAAGAGGAAATTAGGCATAATTACAAGTAGTCTTGAGAAATGACAGGCCACTTAACAACAGTTCATAGTTAAGGCTCACACTCCAAAACTATATATGACCTGTTTCAAAGTTATACAGTTTGCAGTGCCACCGTAGTCATGCACTTTATGACAGACCACAGGGATCCTGCAGTCCTTCCACCTCTCTTCCCCCCCCCCCACACACCACCACGACCATCCTGCCCGATGGGACCTACAGCACTTGGGCCTGCTCCCCAAGCCTCCTGGAAGTAGTCACCATTTTTAGGGCCCCGACAATTCCTTGGCAGCTGCTTTCAGAGCTTTGTGTTCCAATCAGCTGGCCAGCGGAAGGCTGCAAAGCCCTCCTGTCTCTTGCTTGGCTTTGGAAGCTGGCCTTTGCCTGAAAGGCAGCTTCAGGATAAGGTTCCCAAAAACCTTTCTCTTGCTTCACCCTCCCCCCCCCCCCCCCAGAAAGCCACATTTCTTCAATATAAAACAGAAAAAGATGGAAGGAATGGACTTGCTGATCTTCCCTCCTCACTAAATGCTCTCTCTACTCTCCAATCTCTAACCCTTTTAAAAATCTAATCTTGACTCCAGCTAAAGAATAGAGGAACAAAGTGACCAAGAAAAGAAAATCTTTCGGCAGCTTTCTCTATTGAACTGAAAAAAAAGTCCTCTCACAGTTGTGCAATGAAATGGAGGATGCTGGATCCTTGCAAGCTTTAGCTGTCATTCTGAGCTATAGAGCTCAGGTAGGAATTAAAAGATAGATTATAGACTGTCCTATATAGGCAGTCATGTGGACAGCTAAAGCTTATAAAGACCCAGTGTCCTCCAGTTTGTTGCACAACTTTTAGAGATGTTTTTTTTTTTTTAAGTTTCATGGCTGGCCATTACTTGAGGTAGTTCATTTACCGTTGCTAAGCTCCGTTAAAGCCATAACTCAGACTATCTGTATTCAAGAAGTTCTCTTTTGCAAGGAAGTTAACTTTCATGCTATCAGTCACCTCTGCTGTTGGTTGTCAATCGTATTTCACAAATGCATATTTAGTTTGTATAAAATATTGTTTTTCCTGAAGGCAATTATATATGTGTGTGTGAAACAGTAAAATAAACTACATCAATCCACATGTTAGAGAACAGGAAGAAATTGTTTTGTGTTATGATTACAAGGAATGTAGAAAAATATCTGAAATATAGAATTAAAAACAAAACTAAAACTGAAGCCTAAATATTGGTTAAATTAAATCTGGACAACCACAAGATATTTAAATAGTAAACAGTGAACAAGCTTTCCATTTTTCTCTGTAACTAACATTGATAATTATTTCACAGATTTGAAAATTATACTAAGACACTTTTATTAATCTATCTTTTATTTGGTTTTAAATTAATCCACCTTAAATTCACTACATGCAAGGCAAAGGAGGCTTAACTACTCAAACATCCCTTCCTTCTAAAAAATCCAAAAGGAAATTTAATCATGTTTACACACTGATTAAACATAATGCTGTTACAAGCTTAGATAAAATTTTGAAATAGCTACAGATATGCAACTTTGCTCCAAAAAAAAAATAAAAAATAGAATTCTTCAATGGATTACTGCAATGAAACAAAAATATCAATTTTGGGGAAATATATAATCCAGTTTTAGCCTTATGTAAATCAGGTTGTAAACAGGTTGAAAACAGAAACAGAGGAAAACTAGGAAATGTTATTAACAGCACTGAAGACAATTACTATTTAAATGGGATCTATTTTTATTGTTGTGCAAGATAATTAAAAATGTTAATAATAGCCAAATATACAACTATTACAAACATTACGTTTCTAACTGCAGAGTTTATTTGTATTTCATATGGTTTACTAAGGAAAACGCTTTGAAAAAAAGTGACAAAGCTCCAGTATACTTTTAACTCAGTTTAAGTTTTCATTTTGTCCTCAGAATAAACAAACAAATAAAAATTTTGAGTAAGGCATATGTTTTTACCATATAGGAAAAGAATTCAAGGAAGGATAATTTCCACTTAAAGGATAAATTTGGTCAGTCTTACTCAGTTTATAAACAATTAACTATAAAATCTGGAATAAACATTGGAGTAGCTAAATTAATATTTCTTCCCCAACATATCACTTACAGTAGTAGCTGTTATCTTCACTTGTTTAAATGGAAATTCTTGTTTTGCTTACAATAGTTTACAATATATTATCCCTGTCATCACTAAATTCCAAAAAATAAAATAACCTAGGCTATTTTTTAACTGAGATTAAGTCACAGATTCCCAATTATGAGACTAAAAGAATTCTGACTTTATACAAGCCATGAATAAAGTCTGAAGAGAAAGAACCTTTAGAAGGTAGGAGAATAATTTAAAATAATCCATTCATGACACATTTTGGCATTTAAACTTGAAACCTGGCACAAAGAGCTTAAAAAAAATAAAACATGCAATAATCCCCAGCAGTTGGAGATGTTTTTTGATTCTAAGGTTTGTTTTTTCACCCCAAAAACTCTTTTAAAAAAAAAGAGTTACTTCCTGCACATAAAAGTCAATACCAACTAGACAGGTTTGTCAGACCAACATAGCCAATAAAATTCATATTAATGTTTTTTTTCAAACAATACCTTCGTCAGGTTAATGCAACCTTCTAATTTAGGACCAGTAATGGCAACAGTGTAGTGGAAAGAACTGTGTGCTATTCAGGAAAATTTCTACGTTTAAAACAAAGGGGCATTATTTAATTGTGCCTGGGGGGAAAAATTCGGTCTACAGATATATATTAGAAAAAATAGGAAGAAAAAAAGATGCTGCAATCATACATCTGGGGGCATTTTACTGCAAAACAATTTCTTCCATATAAACTGTGTTTGTCTTTCTCAAATGACACAGAAAGTAATGTGCTGATAGGTGATAGAAATAATCCAAATATTGGCCTATGAAAAATACTAGCAAGTTCTTGTGATTCTGTTTCCCCAAAAATAAGACCCTGTCTTATATTTTTTTTTGAACCCTAAAATAAGCGCTTGGCCTTATTGCCATGTGCTCAAAAGCCCGATTGGGCTTATTATCAGGGGACGTCTTATTTTGGGAGAAACAGGTTACTATGTGTGATTATTGATAGTTATTTGCTATATTTTCTTCTCTAACACATAATACAACTAATTTGGTATACTGCTTAAAGACCAAAAATTGAGAGAACAGAATTTTAGCCTTGCTTTAGAAATAAGCCAATTGGATGACTTTATCACAATATTTCTTTCAGCCCAAGGAAGAAGGCAATGACAAATTACTTGTCAAAAAGTTGCCAAGTCACCAATTATTAAGACTCATAAAAGCCCCACCCACCCAAAAAATCCTCCACCAAGATGAAGAAATAAATGCAACAATGAACAATAAAGTTGTATATAACGATCATAGTCAAAAGCACAAGAAGAAGCCATTTTTAACCAACTGTAAAAGAAATAAAGCTGTGCTCTTTCTATGGTTTGTAGCATAAATAAATCTGAGTGGACATACTTTGAAGGGAGCAGCATAAGAAAAACCAGTTAAACAAGGATCAGCATTCATGACGGAATGCTAGATAGAGAGAGAAAAAAGATAAGGAGCATAACATAATGCTAGTCTAGGAAAGAGAAGTCTGTCTTTTCTGTCATGGCTCTGCTTCATTCCACCAGTTACACTTCACTGTTTTCTTTCAAGCAGACAATATTGCTACTACAACATGTCTTATTTGAAACATAGCTGTACCTGCTGTTTTCTAGTACAGTGTAAAAAGCTTTTAACCTTTGTATTATACAAAAATGAGACTTGTTTTAACTCAATAGAAAAATTAAGTGTCAGTAAGCCCACTATCACATACTTTTTTTCTTTTAGCAATGGTTTGTGAAGTATGTCACAAAAACTGGATTGACACTTAATACTAAACTATAATAAGGTAATTCTCAGATTATGATGGTAATCGGAACTGGGATTTCCATTGCTAACAATGCAATTGTAAAGCACAATGCCATATGGCTACACTGTTTGGCACCTGCAATCCTGCTACTGTCAGGATCCCAGGACCGTGTGGGTCATGAAATGGAAACAGGTGGAGTCCCAAGCAAGGAGCATGGGGGAAAGGGGGTGTAAAATGGGAGCTATTGGGTGTGTCGATGTTGTGGGCGGCATTACAGACTGTGGGTGGGCTTATAAATTGTGAGATATAATTCACCTGAACAGTAACTAACCATGATTTCCTGGTAATAAATACTGGGAATGTTAAAGATTGTAATTTTTTAACAGTTATAAGATAACCCAGCCCTAGTTCTATGTCTAGTATCTGTATTTATATACAAGCAATTTGTGAGTAATCATTGTTCTAAAACGAGTCTTTTCATCTATCTAAAATGATAGCATTTCTTCTTTTTCTGATAGTCTTTCATGTACTAATTAAATCTCAACTTCCTACCCTAACATAATATAAAAAGCCCTAAAGTCATTTCAACATTGATCTGGCATGAATGCTTATCAGGGTTCAATAATACTTAAAGATATAGCAACAAAAGTGGGAAGTCAGTCATGTTTACTTATTATCAAATCTCAATGAGCAGCTAACATATTTTTTAACATATTTTTAAATTTTTTAATTGGTTTGTTATCTTAAATTGGGGCCAAAATAATATATATTCTTTTAATTGTTTTTAATGTTTGTATTGTATGTTTTTATCTGGCTGTACACCGCCCTGAGTCCCTCAGGAGAAGGTGCGGTATATAAATTCGAAATAAAATAAAATAAATAAATGCATGTTGAACATTCTATAATGGGCCTACGGTTGACTTTAATCACAACCATGGCACAAAGATACTTTACCATTTCTGAAAAAAGGTCTATACACCAAGTATACAGCTAAAGTACACTTCAGTTTAGGAATTAGTCCACTAACAAATTACTGTTTAGTTTGTTTTAGTTTAAAAAGACAAGATACCTTTGATGAATATCTACTGCTTTTAGCATTCTGGAATTACTGAGGTAGTAAACAAAAATCTAGAGTGGTATAAGGAAAATGCAGTTAATTTATATTATGAGAGAGGGCTTGAAATCCTTCTTCATATTGCTGAATTAATTTTTAGCAACATGGCTAGCATGACTGCTTTCCTGAATAATTACAGTCAACATAAATAGTTTTCACAGCAAGTCATTCAAATATTTATAAATTCTGCTTCATTATTTAAAACCACAAATAACCATATATTTAAATATTTTCAAACTAAAAATGTTTCTCAGAATTAGATTCAAACGCATAGACACAGATTATTAACAATAAGGAATGTCAGTGCCAGGAATGCCAACCAAAACATTTCAGATAGGAAGTACCTATTTGTACATGTAAAAGACTAGATTTATTTTTATGGATACAATGGGTACAAATTTTCTATTGTAAATAATGAGAGTTCTTCTGGGATACAAATATTCTCCGGAGCAATTGAGTATTTGCAAATAAATTCTTCAGCAACATGAACTAAAGAGCTTATATCTTAATGTTAATATATAACCCAAATTTTCTGCCGTATTACATCCAAGAATGAAAGATGAAAAAAATGGAATCTGTAAATATATAGCAAAATACAGAAGATACTGTTTTTAAAAATGTCTTTTTTTCACAAATGCATAGAAAAATTGAAAATATTGCAATCTTATAAGGGCTTTTCTACTAAGAACATTTATGAAAGAATGTTATGCATCATAATATTTTTTTATTTTTATTTTTAATTTGATTTATATGCTGCCCTTCTCCGGAGACTCAGGGCGGCTTACAATGTGCTAAGCAATAATATTTCTTTGAAAATTCTATCCGATGAGAACCATCTTAACATTTGATTAATTTTTTTAGTTTGTTTGATGATGTCAGTTCTCAGAAGTTAGCAATATGCAGAATGCATCAATTGCACCCTCTTGTGTTGGGCATGCATATCTCTTTAATGATATTTTTAATGAACCATTTATATTTTAATACTGAATCAATCATCAATAGTCAAAAATCAAACAGTTATAATAATCATAATAGTCAAATATTTACTATCATAGAAAAGACTAGCGTATAAAAGAGTATATAGCTTTATTTATGTAACACAATTTCCCCATTATTTCTAATTATTTAACAGTAGCACACTCATTTTCAATATAATATTTAAATATCTTTAAATTTATGTTACTTACACTAATACAGGTTTCCCTGATATCTTGGGATGTCTTAGAACTTCTGAAATTGTTTCTTTTGTCTCTTCCATTCTTTCCACATCACTTGAATCCACAACAAATATTACTCCATAGGATTCAGCATAGTAATTTTTCCAAATGCCTCGGATACGTTTTCCACCTCCTAAGTCAAAAATCGTGACTTCAAACCATCGTTGTTTAAGATCAATTTTAGAAAATCCAACTGTTGGAGCCACATCTTCAGGGGATTCTGACAAAATTAAAATATACTATGAGAGATAGTTCAATGAAACTTGAATAAGAATTTTGATTTATTCTAATAATCTAATAATGTACTGGATTGTTTGGGTCTCTCACAGGTACAGTTCACAGAATAGGCAGTATTGAGTTACTTGTAAAAATAATAAAGGCAAGCTACAAATAAATAAATAAAATAAATATATTCCCAACATTTTATATTTTCCTCAAAACAATATGGAGAGGCAAACAGAACTGAGGGTCAGCAATTATCTGGAGCTGGGAAGAAATTACAGGGTTTCATAGTTGCAGAATAAGAATAAAGAAAAGAAGCATGGGGGTTACTCCTTTAGTACACTACTCATAAATTATACAGACATCAAATTGTTATGTAATGGTTACATACAAATTACAAACTGCCTATATATAAGAATATCTAAGCAGCAGTTAAATATATTTCTATATGAAAATAAACAATTATTATGACTTGACCGTTTATGAATTCTGATATGACCAATTACCCCACATTAATTCCAAACTATAATAGAGACCTATACTAATGCTAAATATTTTATTTTACTGTATAAGTAAAAAATAATATTATTAATCATTAGCTTAAGAGCATATCAAAGTTAATTCTTATTTCAGAGCAACAGTAATATTACAATGAAGCATGCTTTTACTGAAAATGTATTTTAGACCTTATCTGTACAAAAAGAAGTTGAATGAAACTTATTAGCCAGGTTCTACAGAATTCCATATGCAGTGTTGATATACTGAGGGAAGTGAATTTTCTTTTATGATTATCCTGCATGAAGTGGAATTCCCTAACATACAGAGATAGACTTTCCTGACTTTAGAGAATAGCCACTTAATTAATGGGGCACCTTAGAGAATAGCACTTAATTAATGGGGCATTAGTGTACATGAGCTCTTTTTAGTCAGAGGAAATGTTCAGTAGATTCAGTAGATATTCTAAGGTATCTAAAATATGCATAACAAGAAACCAATCGACAAGCATACAGTTATGCATATTTCCACCAACCAAAGAAGTGCCAAATAAAAGATGTAAGTTAAAATATGAAATCTGTATTATTTTCAGAGATGTTTCTTGTCTTTAAATTCTATGGATGGGGGGTGGTGGTATATACTTTCTTTCTCCCAAAACAATGAGACATTATTTGATTTAACAGAGTAAAATATTATAGTGTATCAGATCCTGATTACAAGTTTAAACATGGAAAAAAATTTAACAGTATTATTTTGAAAATTATAGGTTAAAATACAATATCCAACATACCGCCTTGGATTCCTTTTACTGTTGCAGTTTTCCCAGCATTATCAAGACCCACCATGATCAATGTCACCTTCCTTTGAAATACCAACAAAAAGAAATTAGAATGTTGTCCTTAAAAAGAGCACATAATATTTTACAACAAATAAATATACTTTCAATATTACCACCCAAAACCACATGGCAAAGATTCAACAAAGATTTCATCTATTTTACAAAGTGCAGGTAAAGTAAGTGGTCTCTAACAAATTCTAAAACACATGGAAAAATATAGGGAGCAACAGAAAGAGACTTAACTCTTATTTCAGTTCTACGGTATGAGAACATGGTACTAAAACCATCAAGGGGATGATTTAATATATTAAGATACACATTGAAGAACATTTGTAGAATATTTCTATTGTGAAGAAAAAAACTATCTAGCCTCTAGATAAAAATTTGATACACTTCAATGAGCACAGAATCTCTAAATGTTCAAAGCAGACAAATAAAAAAAAATGGGTAGAATGTGAAGGAAGAGGAAAAACAGAAGAAGCCAGCAGAAGGATGGAAGGGAGAAGAGAAGAGAAGTGAAATATTTTAGAACTAAGAACAGTATTTTTTAGAAAAAGAAATTTTAAAAGGATTGTCTCATGAGGAACAAAGATTCTCATTGTTGAGGCCAAATGCTGAGTAGACAGAAATCAGAAAATTGACAGATAAACGTATAGTAAAAGATTTAGAATAATTAAAATGAGGTAAAATCAGACTATGAATGAAAGTCTTTACCAGTGTTACCCAAGACAAAAGTTTATATTTTCAAATCTTGTAAAAGAAAAAGAAACATAGTTTAAAAATGGATTAAATAAAAAGTGGCATGTCAAAAAAGTAAGGAATTCATGGAAATTGATACATTTCTTAGTTCACATATCTCAGATGCCATAATGTTCATTTGATCTTGGCAAAGCATATTATGTGTATTAGCCATTGTAGTTTATAAACTATATTTTATGGATCAGCATGCAGTATAAACTTATCCACCATAAATAAAATGGATAACAGAAGCCAAGAAAGAAAGGAAAATTTAAAGATGACAAGTTCAGTACTCACAGCATTGAACTATATGAAGTGGAAATTTCAAGAATTATATTTATATATATACATAAAATACAGTATAGCCTTTGGAAATTAAGGAATGAAAAGTAATCCATAATGTCAGGATAATTAGATCTTAAGTTTTTCCATTTTTTCCTTGGGATTATGTATTTTTAAAATGTATCTATACAGTCCTCCACTTTTGACAACTGAGCTCAAAATTTATGTTGCTAAGTGATAAATTTGTTAAGTGAGTTTTGCCCATTTTATGACTTTTCTTGCCACATTTGTTAAGGGAATCACTGCAGTTGTTAAATTAGACACATGGTTGTTAAGTGAATCTGGTTTCCTCGCTGACTTTGCTTGTCAGAACTTTGCAAAAGGTGACCACACGACCCTGGGACCCTGCAACTATCAGTTGTCAAGCTACTGAATGTAAATCACATGACCACGGGGATGCTGCAACGGTTGTTAAATGTGAAAATTTGTTGTAAGTAACTTTTTTCAGTGGTGTTGTAACTTCAAACAGTCACTAAGTGAACTGTTGTAAGTCAAGGAATAGCTGTATATAAGCAATTAGGTTATGTGCTGTGTGGGATGTTGGGTAAATAATTTGAACTGATCAATCTGCAAGACTAAATATTGACCATGAAAAAAGAATTTTTAAAAAATACATGGTAAAAATCAAGATGTAAATTTATTAGACATCATTACTTATAATTAATATTATCTTTTTGCCCAATCCATAAACATAGGTGTTACAATTCTTGATTTTTACAGCATAGTTTTATAACTCAAACTTGCACATTATTATTTTATCATTAGAAATTGATTAACCGCTGTTTATATATATTTTAAGCATTTTAACTAACAGACTTTTAATACAGAATTTAAACAGTAATTTACACATATCCAAATATCAAAAGATAATTTAAATTGACTATAAGCAATTCCTAATGAATTCAGTAAGCCTTATTTCCAATTAACCATAATAAGATTAGAGTTCAAAAAATTACTTTATACCATTTTAGCAACTCATATGCACCAGGAAGAACATTTTTACTTCCTGATTCTATTATTCCAAGAGAAGACAGAGATAGTATGCAAAGAACAAACTTTTAAATAAATTCTGAGTTGCTCAAAAATTTTAAAAAAGAAACTTAGTTTCAAACAAAGAACCCTTGATGATTTCTAAATAGTTTAGTTGCTCACTTACCAATAGCATAGCGATATGTACAAATAACATTTTCCTTTTCTGCTTTCTCCCTGTACAAATCTTTATTTCAGCAGAAAACAGAAAAGGGAAAGGTTTTTTTACATATCCTATGTAAATCATATGCTACTGAGAAGGGAGCAACTATTCAGAAATCATCAGAGATGTTTTGTTTGAAATTTAAGTTTCCTTTTTGAATGGATGATACTTTTCCAAAAACATAAAAAAATCTGCTGCTGAAAATTATTATTGATTTTTTTTAATTTATTTATTAATTTATTAATTAATTTATTTATATGCCGCCCTTCTCCAGAGACTCAGGGCGGCTTACAATGCGTTAAGCAATAGCCTTCATACTCTTGTATATTTTATACAAAGTCAGCTTATTGCCCCACAAACCGGGTCCTCATTTTACCTACCTTAGAAAGGATGTAAGGCTGAGTCAACCTTGAGCCTGGTGAGAATTGAACTTGCAGTAACTGCAGGCAGCTGGAAGCTAAATACTACCTTTAACAGTAGCATTAGCATTTTTGACAGTACAATCGCAGTACTCTGGGTCTCAATTAATCCAAAAATGATTTATTAATCCTTATGTTAGCAGAGGACTCAAAGGAGTCAACTAGAGACTATGAGGCTAATCTGCTTCTAAACAATGATGTAGAATTCTTTTAACTGTCTAGATCCACAAACTTTAGAAAAATCAAAGCTTGGATTACAGAAACTTCAGTAAAGTATCTTTAAGGCTAGTTGCGGAGTAAATAAAGTACTACTGAAACTGCAAAATAAATTTCTCATCCTAATATATAGTGAATTCATTAAGATGAAATCCCTTTAAATGATTTGAAATGCTTATTAGCCATCTAGGCTAAGTTGTCTTTTACAGGATGAGCTATCAACAGACTCACCTGCTATCTTTTAACTGTTTATGGCTATTTTCCTTTCCATTACTTTTTCAGTCTCCTCAAAAATTTCTCATATAAGCCTTGTTCTCTGTAAACAGGGCCAATGGATAACTGAAGTATCCCTAATGTGAGATCTTTGCAGCATGGCCAACAGAATAGGCAAAAAGCACACAAGAATATGTCATAACCTTAAAACGGACAACATATTTATGTTTTGTTTCCCTCTGATCTTAATATGAACTCCCACCATTCTCATTTCCTATGTATCAATAACACTCCATGCATCCAACTACACTTTTAAAAATATATATGACATAATTAATTTAAATTACAGAAAATCTTCCTTATAATATTCCAGATAATATTTTGCCTTGGTCTGTTCTATGTGAAAATGAGTTAACTACAGGTCTACATACCTTCATAGCTGCTGTACCATCTATAATCTTCAAAGTTACTAAAAAATGAGTATTTTAAAGCCTGGTCATTTACCTGACGGGTTCTCGCCACCGCTTTAGCCAACTACAGCAATTGGCCATCAGACTGTACATCCCTTTCCAACAGCCATTCAGAGCACCAAATAAACTGCAGGTATGGTATATTGACTAATTCCAGAATATTCAATCAAGGGTTGAAGAGATCAATTTGAATATTGCCTTATTACCAAAATAAAGGGGAGAGTAAGAATACACAATAAGTTCTTGGCAACTTTAGTCTTTCAAACCAATCTCACTAAAGAACTACTTCTATAACATAGCAAGCACTCTCCTTTATTTTGTGGGGCCACATTTATTTAAAATGTTATAGTTACAGTCAGAGTGCAGCATCCTTATCTTTTATCCAAGAAAAGCAGTTTTTAGATAATCATGCATATGAAACAATATAGCCATAGTTTTCTACCCCATTCTTTAATCAGGAAAGAGTTGACTGAATAGCCAATCAAAAACTGGATTTATAAAAGCTACATTCAGCAAAAACACAATATTCCCAGAACCTATTTTTACAAAAAATGTTAAAAATAAACAAATCAAAGGAAAAGGTTGAACAACTAACATAGATTGAATAAATGAAAATAGAATAAAAATAAAAAAATAATTTGACAAAAATTATTGTCAAATGGATAGAAAAGTGGGCCATAAATTCAAAGTATATTACTTTTTTAAAAATAATTTACTCTACTCAAAGCAGGTGGGAAAGAATTAACAGTAATTTAAATACAAAAAATACAATATTTCCTAGAATTTTAATATTACAGGCACACACCTGAGCAAGCACTGGTTTGTTACACTAAACAACCACTATCAGAAAGATAGTAGAAAGATTGGTAACAAGGCAGAATCACCTTACAATCTCCATAATACAGTAGGACATTCTGTAATAAATGAATTAAAAAAGGAGAGGCACATCATAAAATTGTTAATAGTATTATTTCTAAAAAGGAATGAAAGCTTTACGCATCCAATTGTGACATGCATTATTTGTAAGACATGTATGAAATATGATTTCATTATTATTCAATGAAATCAGGTATAAGATCTGCTGTAGGCTGATTTGTAGAATGTATCCAAAACTTCTAATGGAGCATATGTATGTGGTTTTTAAAAATGCAGTTAAAGATGTTAACTTTAACAGTTAACAGCACTGGAAGTAGAACCAGTAATTATAAAAGCAATGGATTTATTTATTTATGATTAAGGAATACGGCGAAGTCAGAAAGCTTCATGGATCAAGGATGGCTTTTAAATCGTAACTAAAGTTCAAACTAAAGCTTATTGTCAGATTGAGCCACCTAATTTTTCAATCCTGCTTCAAATAGGCATGAGTGTTTCATGATACCTTATGTATCATGTATTATCATGTATGATACCTTATGTATCATGTATTACATCAAATGTAAACAATACAACTGTGATTAATGCACAGATAATTCTGATTCATGCCGCCGTCTCCTCTCAAATGCTTCTCTACAGGCAAATTCAGCTTTCCTCCTTGATAGTCTATTAAACAGTTCAAATAATTAAAAAACAAAACAAAACACGGCAATGCCTTATAGACGAAATATGCACACTCCCAAAAAGTGTATTTTGTGAGCTGACTATTATACAAACTTACAAACAATTGTAAGCTTTGGTCCTACATTAGAAAGGCACTGCTTCGGCTTTTATATTCTGCGATGTGCTGTACTCAAAAAGCCGAATAAATATGAATTGCATTCCATCGTTCATTTTAAATTCCGGTGTCATAAGCCCGAGACATGAGCGTGTTCACGCGCGAGAAACGCACGGACGGGGGCAGTTATTCAACGCCACCAAATCTTTGGACCCGGGAATGACTGTCGTACCAGAGCACTAACAACGGTGGCCAGCAGCCCAGTACTGAACGAATCGTTCCGAGCTATGAGAACTGTTCTGTTACAATGATTTATTGTATCGGATGGCCAGAGGGGAAAAAAAATAAAGGAATGCGCCAAGCCTTCGGCCTCTAAACAAGCAGCCCAGGCGCCTCCCTCGCCCCCACGTTAAATTAGATTCACAAAGCTTTCCCGCCCCCGAGGGCCTCCTGACCGTCTTCTCGTCTCCCCGTCGCTGAGAAATCCTATAGTAGCCATAGGTTCTCGGGGCGGCCCTTCTACAAAGTCACGTGACCGCGCCTCTTTCGCAGGTTTATCTAGACGTCTTCACGTGATGCTCCTGGAGTATGCTTATTGGCTAGTCTCCGATAGCAACCGGGCGCAGGAAGGACGCGTAACTACGTCGGTCTCCCTTAGCTACGAGAGAGGGAGGGGGGGAGAGGGAGAGAGAATGAGAGAAATAGAGACAAGACCGCAAATGAGGAAAGGAAACAGCCAATGAAGGATTCCTTGACTGATGGAACCCACCAATCATTGGTCCCGCGAGGAGGCAGGATTTAGTTTCCAGAATGACGGACGGGTGCCTGGAATTCTTGAATTGGATTGCTGCTTTATTCCCTGTGCGCGTGCGCTCCTGGAAAGTGACTGAGGGGCGGGGGAAGGGGGGATCTGAAGATTTTTACAAAACTGTATGGACAGCCAGATTCAATATAATCTCATTCTTAAATAGTGACCGCCAAATAAAATAAAATAAAAATACTGGTAGTCTATCACAGATCTGGAGAAGTTTTAACATTTCCACATGTTTCCTGCTTAGGAGAACAGACAGAGTAGGAGCTGCAGGAAATATTGATCCTTACTTGACTACCTACCAGAGGTGGAGCATCTTGTAATTCAATAAGACTTTAATCACTTATTCTTGATCCAGTATTAATAAGTGTTCCAGAACAGCACTCTGCTACTTCTACTCTGAAGGAGTCTCACCTAGCAACATTTTTGTTATTATTATTTTTAATGTTTCTGAGGTCTTAACTTTAACCAATGTGGGGTTACAAAGAGAAGACAGATTCTGAAGAAAAACTCTTCTGATTCTGTTTTGAGCACCTTAAAGTTTTGATTGAGGGCAAGATTTGTTCTTTTGAATCAGGCAACAAAAATAACTTTGGCTACCCTAGCAGTTAGGCATGCTTTATTCCACTCACCTCCCCCCCCAAAAAAGCTATCTTGATAAGCCATAATTTACTATATTAGAAATGATAAATTTAATTATTTATTTATTGAATTTATATTGCTGCCTATTCCCCCATGGTGACTCAAGGTGGCTTACAGAATATAAAACCACATTGAAAACAATAAAAACTAACAAAAAGAATCAAATCAATTAATATAGTACAATATAACAAAATTACCCCCCACCTCCCACCCCCCCATCATGGCAACAACAGATCACACAAACCATTTAATGCCTCCATCCTGCTCTGGGTTCCCCAGGTCCACTGGCAAAACCAGGTCTTCAGCGCCTTCAGAGAGAGAATTAGAGTGGGGGCCATTCTAATCTCTGGGGAAATGATGTTCCAGAGAGACAGAACCATGGAGAAGGTCCTTCTTCTGGGTCCCACTAGGTGTATCTCCTTCAGGGATGGGACCCGCAACATTCCCTACCTCCCCACTCTGATGGGTCAGGTAGATGTGACCCGCAAGAGATAGTTCCTCAGATAACCTGATCCCAAGCCACGAAGGGCTTTAAAGGTGACAATCATCACCTTGAATTGCACCTAGAAGCAAATCGACAACCAATGCAGCTCCCTCAGGAGACGACTAGAGTCTGCACAAAACCATGTGGCCCGTTGCATTTTACACCAACTGGAGTTTCCGGGTGCTCTTCAAGGGCAGCCTCATGTATGTTCCAAAAATGTATGAATTTTACTTGTTTTGCTTTCTTCATTTATTTTAGCTATCCTAATTTGAAATGTATCCCACCACCAATACCTAGCTTGTTGAGGAGTTATGACTACTGCATTCTATATGCACTATATTTGATTTATCTTAAATTTAATTAGAATGTTGTAATTCACAATGGAATTATTTACAATCATTTACATAGTAGCCTTCATAGTAAACAAGGATTTGGAATGTATAAAATATTGACCAAATGTGTGTTTTTGTAAAGTAAACCTTGTATATTTATCCCTTTTTCACAACCTTTATCTCCGGTTTTGTTTTAATAACTTTATTGTCATTGTATGTATATACACAGTATACCCATACAACAAAATTCACTTAACACCAAAGACCAGGTCCAACACACATAACAATCCCCAAACACACCCCCACCCACCACAAATTCCCCATCCCTAAACACCCAAACATCCACACAACAGACCAAGTAATACTAAGTTGCCTGTATTGAGATCAGAAACGCTTGTATATATATTGTGACCTCAAGTTTGAATTCTTGGATTTCCCTGTGTGGACTGAGGTTTTTTGTTGCTGTTGTTAAATGACCTTTGTAAAAACAAGCTATACATTGACAATTATCAGACAAATATCTCCTATTACAGGAAGTAATTTTAAAAAAATTGTGAGTATATCTGGACACTTATCTTGGCATGCTTACAAAACTTGCCTTTTTCCAGGACAATTTTTTTTCAACTTCCTGGTGTAACCAACAGCTTTGGAACTCCCTGAAGCTTCAGGTATCAGCCAAGCTACTACTCTTGCTGAGGCTTTCTGTCAGGTGCCAAGAATCAGGTATACACATTAAGTTCCAGTTTTATTGCGCATGAATATAGTCAGTTAACAGCCAACATCATATTCATACCAGATGAGAGTGAATGGAATTGAAGAAAAATTGAACTTAAATCTTTTATGGGAATGTAAAAACTCCAGGCTGATAATTTTAGACTCTGCTCCCTGGCTCTGCCTGTCCTTTTTCTATACTTTTCTAGAATGATCAAACTCTTAAAGAGGAAAAATGATTCCAATACATGAAAGTGTATATCAAGAGCCTTGGTGGCGCAGCAGACTAAAGTGCTGTTAAGTAACACCAGCTGCCTGCAATCATTGCAAGTTCAAATCTCACCAGGCTCAAGATTGACTCAGCCTTCCATCCTTTCGAGGTAGGTAAAATGAGGACCCGGATTGTGCGGGCAACAAGCTGACTTTGTATAAAAAAGAAGACCACTGAGGGGAGGCCGAAAGCCCTACTAAGCAGGTATATACAAAAAAGTATGAAGGCTATTGCTTAACGTACTGTAAGCTGCCCTGAGTCTCCGGAGAAGGGCGGCATATAAATCGAACAAATAAATAAATAAAATAAACTGGTTACAGTTCAAACCTGAACATCAGGGCTACAAAAAAAGGAGCAGTCCATCAAACATTATTTTGAGACCCTCCTCCCTCCCCCAAAAATCCCAAAATGACTGCCTTAAGAATAGAAGATATTTCAGTGACTATTTGGCCACAAAAAAAATCATGTGCATCTTCACCAATGGGTCACGATTTCGCTAGCATTTGGAGTGTAACATTGACAAGCAGGTCCATGTAGGACTGCAGCATTATAATATAAGTTTATGTCTCTATTTAGCTTGTTTCTAAAAAAAAATCTGTTGGTGAATCTTAGGATTCCCCAACAGATGCCACTTAAGATGCCATGCAAACTTCTTCCTTGTTCATCAATAAGCTATCTCTAGTCAGAATTCAATTGTAATATGTAATTAAAGCCAAGACTGAGCTACTTAGGTAGCAATTCATTTAAAGCCATACATAGCAATTCACTGATGTCTTTGGAGGATAGTCTTCAAAAAGCCTCGTTACATTAAAATTGAAACCTTATGTACTGTAAACAGTGGACATCACATGACACCTTTTCCAAAAATTCAGTGCACCGGTTTATTCAGCAAAACCAATTGTCTTGAGATTGCGTAAAACAGAGCTGGGGTATCAGCCAGAGAGGCTGGGATCTCACGTGCTTAAAACTCTTGATGGCTTCGTTTCCAGCTCGCTGTGCAAATACAGCCTCACGCTAGCCGAAGGGCAGCTTTGAGGAAAGAGGAACGAGTTGAAGGTGAGCTGCCCCTTTCTGTGTTATTGGCAACGAGCCTTGGGAAGAACGCAACCAAAAAGGCAATTTCGCCTCCTCTCTGCCTCTTTCTTGCGCACGCAAGGACACACACACACACACACACACACACACACACACACACACAGAGAGAGAGAGAGAGAGAGAGGGTCCTTTTGAGCAAACGGTTAGAGACCAGCCCCACCGGGAGATTCAGCAGCTTCTGGGCCAGTGCCATAATGTCCTCCCCTCGGCCTTCCTGTTTACCCACCACTTGAAATGGACAGGACCGCTTCCAGGAACTGTCTTGCCTTCGAATGAGGCCATTCCCCCAACCAGTCTCCTCTCCCTCCCGCTCCGCAGGAGGACTAGACCGGGCAGAACATTGTCCTCGCTTCCCGGCACCGTGTGAACAGCCAAACGCCAACTGAGAGCCGATGCCAGCATCCGCTTCTTAGCTCCAAAAGAAGATAACGCAGACCCAGTTCGCTTACTAACTCTCAGCTTCTCAGAATGAGACTCCTGGACATTATTTGCCTGCTTATTTACTGCCTCTTGATTACAACGATCGCGATCTCCCTCTCCGAGGCAAGGACGTGTAAGTAACATTGGTCTGCTTTCCAACTTTCGACAGTTTCAGTGGGGCTTGCGCGGTTTTTTTTTTTTAGTTAATTTGGACCTGTTTTTGTGCTTTCTTCCTCATGCTGTCTTTTGGAAGAGATTGTAAAGAATAGTAACGGAAAGAATTCTATACCGACCTACTGTATAACCTTTTCTGTGAAAAGAAGTCTCTGTCCTTCGAATTCCTAGGGATGCAATGCAACCTGATTACTTGCACGTTTACTCAATAAAATAAATTTCGCGGAATTTAATGGGACGTTGTTCTAGTTTATGGCATCACAGGCGTAGGTGGATCTGGTTCCTGGTTGCCAGGAATGTCGGAGAGGTTCTGATGTGTCCCTTAAACTCTGAAGGATCTGATTTATTTTTTTTCACTAAGCAAATATCTTTTCCATCTCCATAAACAACCATATTTGTAATGAGGCTACAGGAGAATGAGTAATTATCATTGCAATGAGAGAGAGAGAAAAAAAATTCTAACCCCAGCAAAAGAAAGGGAGGGCATTTGGGGTATTGTGAAATCATATTAAAAAATAAAAGTATTTAAAAACTACAATTACTTCTGCAATGAAAAGTTTAAACAAATATTTTATGTAGAGGATGCAAATTGTGTTTTTTTAAAATTATTATTGTCTTCCCACAAATGCATTTAAATAATGCATGCAGCCTCT